CTCACCCCCAATGCCCATTATGACCTTATCTCCTAGTCCCTCTATGAGACCTCCTTTCCAGACACCTTTTGCAAAGAAGTCAATGAATGACCAGTGTTTAAGATAAGACCAATAGATTTCTCACAACAGTTATTTTGTCCTCAGGCTACTCATCCATAGACAGTCACTAGCTAGGGCCATAGCCAAAGGGACCATAGTCTGTTTTACTGGTGTGGGCAGTTCCATCACAGCATACTAGGTCTGAGGAGTGATCCATCACTGTCTATTCCCAGTTAGAATCACCTGGAAGAGATAGTAAGTTACATTGATGGTGTCCAGGAATTAGGGTTTCCTTGAAACAAGGTTGCAATCCATACTAATTTATACGACAGGGTCGGAGAGGCTGAGTGGGAACTAGCTTGGATGCACATCCCCAGGATCAGGAAAGACATCAAGAGGCAGAGTAGGAGTTGACTCATTGTCCCTATTTCTAGGTCATTTTGATATAGTCAGTTTCAGTGACTAGTTTGAGTTGGCTATCACAGTCCGCTCCTAACTTGGGTCCACAGCAGCCTTGGTATGAGTGGTATATCCATAGCTTGACACTGCAACTTTAAGAGCTGAGGGAGTGGTGAGGATTAAACATTTATTTGTGCAGTGTCAGCCAAGTCTTCAAGAACCTCTAGTGACAGTTATGTCCATACTCTCTCTGATACCCTCAGTCCTTTAGGAGTAGTGGAGGTGGCTGGCAAACATGATCTCAAAAGAACAGTAACCTGTCTACAGGATGTGTAATTCATCCTAAACAGTACATGTGGCAGAACTAAAGTCCTGTTTATTTTCTTAACCAGGCCTGGAGATTGGGGGTGGTACTATATATGAAAGTTTCAAGTTGATTCTCTGTGCAGGTAGAATAAGCTACCCAGCATGAAAAATACACGCCATAACCAGCAAGTACCGTTAGCCTCCGCTGGGTTGAGTGTCAGGAAAGTCCATTTATAGATGTTTAAATAGGTAGGAGCCATGTTTTGTGTCAACGTGGGGACCATGGGTCCTTGCTTGAGATTTTTCCAAGAACGCACAGACAGGCTTTGCTAGCTCAGTGTTGTCAACCTTACCACCACCAAATATCTTTGAAGTAATTCTTGTAGGGCAGTTTTGTTCCCAGATGGGTTGTTTCATGAGCTGTCATCTCTGGAATTATTTTCCTATCAGTAGCAATCAACCAGGCCTTCTAATTTTAGATAGCTCCTTCATTAATTGTTAAAACAGCCTTTAGGGGATAGTGAGAGGAGACTGGGTGTCATGGAGGATGCCTGTCTGGCTACCTGGTCATCAGTTGGTTTCCCTGATTCACTCAACCTTGATTCTGTGTGAGCCTGGCAGTGTACCACTGCCATACCCAGGGGGCCAGCCAACTTCTAGGATCTGGAGGATTTGGTCTGTTTTTAAATGCTTTTACCCATGGCAGTAAGCAGTCCCCTTTCTCTATATATTGCTGTGTTTGACATAGTTTTAACTTTCTTTTTATTTATTGTGTGTCTTTCACATCATGCATTTTGATTCTATCCATTTCCCTGTCCCTTCACATCTGCCCTCCATCTTTGCAATGCCCCCCAATAAAGCAAAATTTAAGAGAAAAAAGGAAAAATGTAAAATCTCATCGTGGAAGCTACAGTGTGACCCAGTGAGTCATGTAGTGAGCCCCTTTATCCATACATCTTTATATGGTGTGTTCATTGCAAAGAGTCATTGGTGTAGATCGAGGCCTCTGGTTTCTGCTTTACTATCGATGCTCGGCCCTCACTGGGACTCCTCTTGGATATCCTGCTGTTGCCCTGTGTCGTGGAGATCCTGCAGCTTTGGGTCTGCAGGTCTGGCCCCTTCGCATGCTCCAACAGCTCATAGATGAGGTGGATGGTGGTGTGAGGCAATTCATAGCCCTGGTTCTGGGCCTGGGTTTTTCAGCCAGCCAGCTCTCTCTCATACTCAACACTGGGTGAAATCTCCAGCACTGCCCAATAATTTACCTTATGCAGCAAGCAGCAAGGGGAAGGAGCTGTTCTCCTGCTCCCATGCCCTCAGAAAGGCTCACCCACACCCACCGCACTAGGGCCAGCTCTACTGTGTTGCCCAGGTGAGGTGCAGGGGCCACTCTTCCCAGTGCTGCAGCTGGGGGGGCAGGGACAGCTCTCTAGCTCCTATAGCCCTAGGGACAGCTCCTCCACCTGTCCTGGGTGTCATTGAGGGGTGCATTTCTCCTCCACCCATACCATCACAGGCCAGATGGATAATGAGGACTCACAATATCGGGGCTGGGTTACCCACACCTCTGACAACAGGGTCAGCTCTGCTATGCTGCCTAGGCAAGGAGCAGGGCCCACTTTCCTGATTGCTGCAGCTGGTAAGGGGTAGGGTCAGCTCCCTCGTCTACAGGCAATAAGGGGCAAGGAGTAAGGGGGGCATCTCTCCCCAACCCACACCACTGCATGACAGACAAGTCCTGGGGATAGCTTTGGCATACTTACAGCTTTAGAACTGGCTCATCCACACCTCCACCAACAGGGTTGGTTCTATTGTGCTGCCTAGGTGAGGTGCAGGGTCTGCTCTACCTAATGTTGCAGCTGGTTGGGGGCAGGGACAGCTCTCCATCTCCTGTGACCTCAGGGCCAGCTCTCACATCCATACCAGGCATTGCTGGGGCAGGGGGTGACTCTCTTCAGTCCATGCTTCCCCAAGACAAATGAGTAATGAGGACAGTTCTCCTATGCTCACTACTTCAGGGCTGGCTCAACCACACCTCATCCAACAAGTTTAGCTCTATTGTGTTGCCTAGGCAAGTTGCAGGGCCTGTTCTGAATGTTGCAGCTGGGGGTGGGGGACAGGGACAGCTCTATCTGCCTCAGGCATGGATGGGAGGAAGGGGGAAGGACATCTTTCCCCCACCCATGCCACCACAAGACACACGAGAAATGGGGAAAACTCCCCCATGTTGAGTCTATCCCCTTTTGTAGGTTTCAGCTCCCATCAGTAAAAAGTCCCATATCTGAGGGAGTGGTTCATCCTTTAAGTCTGGCCACGAGGAGAAAGTTCCTTTTATAATTTCCCTGAAATCATGGAGGGACTTTCCCTCCTTTTCAGGCAAGTATGTGTCTGGATGACATACATGCATGTCATGTTGTTTAATGAAGAAAAGGTCTGTATTTTCCCTTAGTGGACATACTGGAACCCATTCATTCCTGGAATGCAGCCTACTGGTGTCTGGTGAACATTTCCATGAAATTGTTGGATCGGACAGCTGCCTGGCAGGACAAGTTGGCGTGCATTGTGGCAGGCAAATGCCAATGAAAGGTTGTCTTGCAACTGCCTCAGCAATGTGAGGCTGCACTCTGCTCTTGGGTTGGGCCATCCTTGGTAAATCTGACTGTCCTACCAGGGTATGGGCTCCCAGAGCTAAGTGTGGTTGTACACCTAGAATAGGGCCTGGGCTTAGTCTAGGAGATAGGCTGGGGTCTAGAGGGGGAACAGGAGTGGTAAATAAGGGCCACATTATTGATTAGGTCTTTAGTAGTATGAATGTTCTAAAATCCATTCTAGTCTCTCTGATCATTATTAATACACATGAAAAAGATTAAACCATTATATAACACACCTTGTGTTGGTTGATTTACATGTGGATTTCTCCAGTTGAGTTCCTGTTCTGAAACTCAGCTAATTGTCTCACTAGCCAGACTAAATAAATAGTTGATGTTATAACTCCTTTTCCTCCTTTACTGTGTATCATGCATTTTGCATGAGCCCAGTGGCTTCATGATTTTGAAAATGACTTGTTTAGAAGCCCATCTTTTTAATTAATTCTTATCTAAATTAAAAAGTCTTATTTTACACACCAATCCCAGTTCCCTCTCTCTCCCGTTCTCCCATTCCCCCATTAGCTCCCCATCCACTCCTCAGAGAGGGCAAGGCCTCCCATGGGGGATCATTAAAATCTGTCACATCATTTGAGGCAGGACCAAGACCCTCACCCCATATATAGGCTGAGAGAGAATTCCCTCCATAGGGAATGGGATCCCAAAGCCCATTCATGCACTAGGATAAATACTGGTTCCACTGCCAGTGGCCACATAGACTTCCCAGGCCCCCAACTGACACCCACACTCAGAGGGCCTGGTTCGGTTTTAAGCAGGCTCCCCAGCTGTCAGTCTGGAGTCAGTGAGCTCCACTTGTTCAGGTCAGCTGTTTCTGTGGATTTCCCCAGCATGGTCTTGACCCCTTTCCTCATCATTCTCTCCTCTCTACAACTACTAGATTCCAAGAGTTCGGCTCAGTGCTTAGCTGTGGATGTCTGTTTCTGCTTCCATAAGCTACTAGATGAAGGCTCTAACATGGCATTTAAAGTAGTCATCAATTTCATTATGGGGGAAGAACATTTAAGAGTACCTCTCCACTATGGCTTAGATTCTTAGTTGGAGTCATCCTTGTGGATTCCTGGAAATTTCCCTAGTGTAAGATTTCTTGTTAAGCCTGTAACAGCTCCCTCTATTAAGATATCTCTTCCTTTGCTCTCCTCCTCTGTTGCTCCCCCAACTCAACCTTCGTGATCCCTCATGTCCTCCTCTCCCCTCCCTTTCCTCCTCTTTCTCCTGATTCCCTCTCCCTCCCCCATGCTCCCAATTTGCTCATGATCTCTTGTCCCTTTTCCCTTCTCAGGGAGTCCATGTATGTCACTCTTAGGGTTCTCCTTATTTCCTAGCTAGAAGCCTATCTTTGTGTAAGATTTAGACACAGTCTTCAAGCTGGCTGGTTTATAGCTGCCATGCCCCGCATCCCTTATCCTGCCCCACCAAGGCCCACTTGGAGGCCATCAGCTTGGTCAGCCACATCAGTATGGAGACCACTTCTTCTATTCTATATAAGGTTACCTCTTAAAATATTTTTTCCACTGACAATCCTCAGTCTGAGTTGTCAATATTCTATTTCCCTTCCTCCCTCATTCCCCAAACAGAAATGAACTACAGAACAAATTTTATTGAATTTATTTGCTTTGCATTAATCAAAAAACAAGAAAGCTAAAAGAAACAAGTAAACTTATCAGAATACATTTCTAGGCACTGAAAAACTTATGCTTATAATAAGTAAACACTGATATTTGTTAGTAATGGGAGAGATATCATTAATGGGGAGTTCTCATAGTGAGAACAATGTAATGAAGGCATAGGTAAAAATGGGGAAGGGAATTGTCAGAGCAATATACTGAAATTACCTATGTTAAGGGCATTGGTTTAAACAAACTATTCACTATGGGGATATAAATGGAATGAAATCCAGTCAATCAAAAACTTAACATAATCAAAAGGGCAAAACTAGAGGATCAAAATTTAATGAAAAATCCATCATGTTGTTGTACAGCATGTCATTATACTATCATCAGCAAAACCCAGCACCAGTTATTTAAGTTAGCTATAGAATCTCATTGCCTCACTAGACTTGGTTTTAATGGGGAAGCATCCAACATAGATGTTCAGGGCTGCATGTCTGTTTAAGCAAAGCAAGCACAATATGACACAAGTAGATGCCCTTGGATCTAGGAAAAGGAGCTAGGTTTAATTGTTAAGGCATTTAAATGTATCTCTTATAATATTTGCTAAATTTGAGAGATAAATGTGGAAAATTTGAGGATGGAAAGGTTAATTAAGGTGGGAATAAAGCTGCCTGCCATAGATGACACCACACAGGAATTCATTAGTTCCATTTCTTGACTGGAAAAGCAATGTTACCAACTTCCTCAAGTTCCTGCTACCAGGAATTCCCTGCTATGATGAACTATACACTCAAACTCCAAGCCAAAATAAGTCCTTTCTCCTTAGGTTGACCTTATCAGAGATTTATTGCAGCAATAGGGAAAGTAACTAAGACACTGAGTTACACAGAGTTCTTTGCCTTAAGCCTGGAGACAGAGAGGACACAGACACAGTCTAACTAGTGAACTTGTCATCTTTTTGGCTGAAAGTACATCCATTCCTTGGGCTAAATCACCTAAATCTTTCCGTTAAAATTATTCAGTTGAAAGAAATGGCAATCGTTAAGTTGAAGTGAAATATGGTTGTTTCATTTCTTCTAAGGCACAATGTCTAAAGTTAATGATTTTGCAATTCTATAGCATAACTTTTCTGGTGAACATGCTGGGATATTGGTAGTGACATGCTGAGGGTTAGATATTAGTAGCATTTATTTCACTCAAATAATTAGAAACGTTAATACCTATTTCTAAAGTTATTTTCCTTAATAAAACTACCCCTAGTAAAAATGTTATATGGAATTACCACAGCTACTGGCAATTATTACTGAAAATGCTGATGCTTTAACCAGGAGCTGTTTATTGTATGTTGTCTGCCATTTGGCTCCATGCTTTGGCCTTCTTCTTGGCCATTGAGAACCACACAGGCTCCTCAGGCGGTGGAAATTTGGATGGTAGACTTGAAGAACGTCTGGTTTCTCTCTCCTTGCCATGTGGGTGAAGCATGTTCGGATCATCAAATACAACTGGAATCACAGCAAACAACACTCAGTCAAAATCCCAAAGACACTGGAATATGTTTCAAGATGAAATGCAACGGGGCATCCTTTCAGGTTTTCTCCGGTCACCTAGTTCTTAGTACTTTCAGACCACTGCTGTCTTAGAAGTTAGACTTCTAAATATCAGAGTTTAAGCAAACAGCACAGTAGGTATTTATGCCTGGGGTGCAGCATCAACTTGGAAATGGTTATAGGATCGTAACCATGGGAAAAGACATGAGGAGAATCTTGCAGTTTAGCAGTCACTGTTTTGACTTTTGGTATTTGACCATCTTGTACTTTTAAACTCACACCCAAAGGGAAACATAATGTAGCTATTCCTTTTTTTAAATTCCAGATCTGTTTTCACCAGTTACTGACATTGTGAAATTAAATGACTTATGACTCAATAGATCTATCTAATAAAAAAGAAAGAGAAATAATACTCTGCTAACTACTGTGGCCAAACATACTACTCTCTGTTTCCCAACTCCACTCCCTCCCTCATCCTACTCTATTGCTGAATAATTCAATGGCTTCGACTAAACCAGTGGTCCTCAATTCTCACTACACATTGGGATCAGCTAGGAATATTTTTTAAAATACCAGTGTCTCTGGGGTGTGATGGTACATACCTATAATCCCAGCCTTTGGGAGGCTGTGGCAGGAGGGCCAGGAGTTTGATGCTCTAGCTGAAATCAAATGACAACTACAACAACCAAAAAACAAAGAAATGCAAAAACTGGCAGTGTCCATGCAGTTTCTTGAACCAACTGAATCAGTATGGATGGAGTCAGGCTCATCTATCATTTAACAAGCTTCCTGGTGCATCTATTCTTCAGGGGAGCTGAGAACCACATTTCAGGAATACACTGCTCATAAGACATGGAGCAAGACAACTGTTATTTCCACAGACAAATAATGGGTTCTTGGGTCGAATGTAAATCCATCCTCCTCTCCAGTTTCAGTGAGAGTTCATGGATGATGGGGTGCCAGAGGCCAGAAGTCTTGAATCAGACCAATAACTCATTGCAATGAACATTTGCAGATGGGGCTGAATGGACAAAAGGGTATACTGTGTGACACTCCACAGCTCCCAATGCCACTAGGTTGAATGAAGAGGTGTTGGAGAGGTGGAAATGATGGAGGGTCAATGTGGGCTCTTTTGTTTTTTTTATTTTGTTTTGTTTTAATTAATTTGGGGGATGTTCTTTTGGGACAATGCTGCATGGGTGAAGGGCAGATATGAAGGGACTGGAAGGTAAGCAGGATTGGGGTGCATAGTGTAAAACTCCCAAAGAGTCAAAAAAGAATTATGTTATTTTAAAAAGATCCTCCTCTCCTTCAGTTCCTGCTGATAAATTTCCTCTGGCACATAATTCTCAGTGATGAGGTCACACTCTATCATTTCCTGTCACATTTATTTGAAACTTTCAATATGCCCCCATGTCTCACACCCCTAGTCATAATATAGAGTGTGTGAAGCAAGCCTTTTCAATAGTTATGAATCAATACTACCGAGCCTTTACAGTGGATTATTGTCAACAGTTCAATTGAGGTTAGAAGAGGTGAGGAAACAATGTTTTGCTATCAGCTAGAAAATGGCTTGGTACTTCCCTCTCCTACCTAGCCACAAGAATGTTTTGTGCCTTGCCTTGAAAGCTTCTTCAGTGAGGTGAGAGACTAGAAAGGGCTATGGAAATTGCACACTGGACTAGGATATAACAATTGGATTTTCTTAAAGTAAGCTAATATCTGTTACATTTCATGGAAGAGACATGAAAGAATCATGAAGCTGATTTGATTAATAAGAGAAACACAATGACCCTGAAAATGCAAAACGTTGCACCACATTCCTCCCTGGCTATTTTTGACAGGTCAGAATGAGTGCTTTCACCTGCTTTTGTAGACTTAGACATCTTTGACATCTCCTGTCTTGGAATATTGGGAGAAAAATTCATTCTTGGTAGGGCATCAGTTATGGGTTCATGTTCCTGTAATACCAAAATGAAAACAAAACCTTTGTAAATCCTGACAATAAAGACAGTAAACTACATAGAAGACTGCATGGTACAAGGCCTATCTTAGATACTATGAATTCAACAATCAGAAGAAAAGTGATAGAGAATATAGATATTAATGCAAAAGTATACATCTATATAGAAATACATAACTATAGAAATCGATTATAGAGATCAATAACAAAAGATAGCACAAAGTTCCTTGGGCTTGGAATACATACATACATACATATTTAATGGTTTATTTGGAAATATATTATTTAATGGTGTATTTCTTTTTATTTTGTGTGTTCAAATGTTTTGCTGCATATATGTGTATGCACCACAGACACTGTGCAGTCCCTGAGGCCAGAAGAGAGTATTGCATCCCTGGAGCTGGAGTTATGGATAGTCATGAGCCACTATAGGTGTGCTGGGAACTGAACTCATGATCTCTGCAAGAGCATTAAGTGCACATAACCACTGAGTAATCTCTCCAGTCCCAGAACTTAGATTATTAACAAAACCCAAACTGACTCAAATTTGGCATCTTTCTTTCAGACCAGGAAGAAAAGCTATTTACTTATACAAATAGTGTAAACAAACAGACTGATGTGAGAATATATTCCCTCAATAAATTTAGCAAGCACATGAAAGTATGAGATCTCACATACAGCTTTTGATATGTAAATGTAATATGCTTTCTTGTGTAGGGAGAGATCTAGATGTCTGTGGCGCTGACCACGCCCATTTTGGGTATGTCCACAGGTGCGTACCAGTGTGTGGAATAAAGGGCTGAGAAGAGGGGCAGCTTAAACTCTCTCTCTTTTCAGGGTTCCAGTTGGATTTCAGAAGGCTTCAGAAACTAACCTGGATTTTTGGTTTCTCTTGTAAGTAATCTCTCCCTAATAAAATAACATATGACATTCCTATCCCGTGTATGGTAATCTTCATCTGACATCAGGTGTCACTTCTGACATCATTAAGGTTTGGATGAGATAGATATGGTTAGAATGGGATATAGGTAGATTATTATATCTTCTTGTGATTTACCTTAGTGATTATTAGCTACAGACAACTTACAATGTTATAGATTCTCGTGTGATGCAAATTATGTACTATCAAGTTATATCCCACCAATTGCATGGAAACATCACAAAGGAAAGGGGAGTGTTTTATTTTTGTCTTAATAGGAAAACCCATCTCCAGAAAGCAAAAAGACACCAAACGTGTAGAAACCTAAAGAAGAAAGGATAGCTATCCAAAAAGAACCATCAAACAAAGGTGAATTGGTCTTATGGTAAACTCCAAAACTATTTCTTTGCAGTAATCTATTCTCTTCACTTCCTAGTACTATTTTAGTCCCAATTCACTCAAACCAATGCTGGCTTTGGAGTTGGATTTGGCTCTCCTCCTCTAAATCTAAGCATGTTGAATAGCTTAGGAGGTTTTCCTGGAATTCACTCTGTAAACCAGGCTGGCCTCAAACTCACACAGATCTGTCTGCTTCTGCCTCCCGAGTGCTAGGATTAAAGGCATGAGCCACCAAAGCCCGGCTCAACTTTTAGGTTTTTATATTTGGTATTTTATAATTTAATGATTTAAATAAGTACTGCAGCCTCCTCCTGAGTTGTCTTCTTGCCTTTATGATTGTCTTCCTTCCATAGTTTGGAAATTGATCAAAGCCTCTCACATTATAAAGTTAATATCAGGGTTCTTCTGTAACCGGGGGCAGTTGTGGAGTTTAAGTTGTATTCCCTGTGGTCTCTCTATCAGATTTCATGTTCTAATGAAAACACAACTTCAAGTCAGTTCTATCAGTCATACCTTTTCAACAGGTAAACATAGTCCTACAGAGCTGGAGAGATCGCTCAACCGTGAAAGGCTAGGCTCACAACCAAAACTGCAAACATAGCCCTACAATTTCATTATTTATTTATTTGTTTGCTTGTTTGTTTATTTTAATTTCATTTTACATTCCAACCACAGTTCTCCCTCCTATCCCTCCTTCCACCCCCGCTCACCTCTCCCCCAGGCCACCCCCTTTCAATTCTCCCAACTGGTAAGGGTTCCCATGAGGAGTCAACAAAGCCTGGCACATTAAGTTGGGGCAGGACCAAGCCCCTCCCTGCATCAAGACTGAGCACAGCATCCCACCATAGGGAATTGTCTCCAACAAATTAGCTCATGTACCAGGGATAGATCCTGGTCCTACTCTCAGGGGTCCCACAGATAGTCCAAGCTTCACAACTGTCTCCCACATGCAGAGGGCCTAGTTCAGTTGCATGGAGGCTCCACAGCTGTCGGTATAGAGTTAATGAGTTTCCATGATGAAGTAAGTGTTATTACAGTATATTCCTTCTTGGGGTACTTTAGATAGTAGCTTCCTCTAGGATGTTAGCATGTTTGTTATGTAAATTGTAGATCATCTAACACATCTATCTTATCTTGCATATTTGTCTACATTGCTTTATTCATAAACATCCCTTCTCTCCCATAGGTCTCTATTGCCTATGAAATAAAATTTAAATGATTTAAAGTGATGTATGGGACTTGTAAGACCTGCCTCTTACCTCTCAGCTCTTTACATTGTAGTCAAGGATTACCAAACTACTTGTAGTTGGTTTTGACTAGTGACGTTATTGTACTGCTCTGTGTGGTGCTTATGCTCTGCCTCTGCCTGGGGCACCTTTCCCTCTTTCTTCACTTGGCTCAGTCTTACTCATCTTCTATGACTCAGCTCCAGCATCAACCTTTTCAGAAAGCCTTTCCTGTAATCTCTCAGAGTTAAGCTTATTTATTGGTCACTTGTACAATGTTGACTCTGTGCCAGAAACCATTCTAAGCACACTAAATCCTCATAATTCTACAAATTAGGTTCTGTCGCCATCACAGTTTCCAGATAAGGAAGCAGAGGCATTAGAGGTTTAAGCCACCCATGTTCAAATAACTTGCATGTAGCAAATGTTCACACAACATTTAAATGGCAAATCCACATCTCAAACATGGGCCACATGAGTTTTGAGTCTATACCCATATACTGTTTAGTTTGTTCTGGAGACAGGATTTTTTTCACTGTTTCCCAGGCTGTTTGAGATCCTGTGGACACAAACAATCCTCCTGCCTTATTCTCTTGGTGTGTATCCTCTTAATTCATATGCTGTGTGTTTCACAATGTCCTTACTATGCTTTCTCAAACTACCTTAGGAATGCCTCTGCCTTAGCATTTAGTGCAATCGTTTGAAAATATCTTTTTGCTCTACATAAGTCTCTCAAAGTCCATTATCCTCTGAGACAATACAGTACTGTGATTAATAGTTGAGATTACAAGATTTAGAAGCAGATATTGCCTGGGGTTCAGTCCTGTCTCATGTACTAGCTATGTAATCTTATATGTGTTATTTAACCTTTTTTCACTTGTTTTGCTCATTTTCAAGTAGGACTAAGAATACTGAGTATTTGAAAGGACAGAATGGGAAGATGTATCAAAAATTCCTGTCAGAACATAATGCATAGCAAGAAACTCTTATTAATAGATGCCAATTGCAACTTGTTAACATCCCTGTGTCTCCAGCAAATAGTATGTTGTCTCAGAAATAGACACTTGGAAACTACTTGCTGAACCTGAATACAGGTATATGTGAAGTGTACCTTAGTATATATGAGTTCACAAGTGATGACCTGTAGTTACATAGAATACTCACTTAGCTAGTACACCTGTAGGAGTTTTACCCCAAAGGTTAGCTAGCTTACAACTCTGTAGTCACGCCACTAATAAGCACTCTGTTCTTTGTGGCAGTAAGTTTTAATGCAGTGGAGCCCAGATGGGATAGCTAGCACATCACTTAGTGTAGGGAGAGCTCTAATGTACCTGTAGAACTGACTTAGCCCATTTGGTCATGGTCACAGGTACATGGGAGAAGGCAGGGGCATAAAGAGCTAGCAGGAAGGGGACATTCTTTTCTTGGAGTTCCGGTCGAGTCTCCGAGACCAGCAGAGTGCTACTTCAGGTTCTTGGCTTCTCTTGTAAGTGACTTCTCCCTAATAAAGTATCATATGACATCCCTACTCTGTATATATTGTGTAGCTTAATATTCCTTTTCATCTGGTACCAGGACTGGGATCACCACTTGCTGTCTCTTCTAGCACCAACTCGTGCACCCTAGAGAGGGAACCCATGCCATGCGGCCTCACAGCCACCCCAGGGTCTAGAAGGGGAGGAGGTGCACATGCACACCCACACACATTGTCTCTCGGTTTCCTAGGTGGCCCAGGCCAGACTCCCCATCATGGATCTATTTGAGGGTATCGTCCCTTCTGAAATAAATCAGTAGGAGTTGTATAGTGTTTTCAGATTGCCAGGGAAACACTGCGTCTTCAGTCATATTTAAGTGCATTAAAATGGAATTTGTAAAAGCTAATATGAAGAGGAATATTATTTTACCTTTAACTAATGAAGAAATTTCATCTTTATGGAAGGACAATGAATATTGGCAAAGGGCTTGCAGTAACTTTTTGGGAACAATTAGTAGCAATTATCCCAAAACAGAGAGAATCAAATTCATAAAGAAAACAATTTGGAGACTTCCATGTATTGTAAGAAAACCACCAGTCCCTAGAGTCCCTACATTCTACACTGATGCAAACAAGTCAGGAAATGCAGTTATAAATCATGAAACATAAGTAAAGTACAAATCCCTTACAAGTCTTACAAAAGGCATAGTTGTATGCCATTCTCATGGTACTTACGGATTTTACAGAATCTCTCAATGTAGTCACTGACTCTCAATACGCAGAGAGAGTCATCTTACACATTAAGATTGCTGAATTGATTCCTCATGATACCAAATTAACCTCATTGTCTATGCAATTACAGGAAACTATCAGAACTAGAACTCATCATATATATATATATATATATATATATATATATATATATGTATATATATTATACACACCAGATCCCATACGGGCCTGCCAGGTCCTCTAGCACAAGGTAATGATAAGATTGATCATTTATTAATAGTAAATGTGCTAGAAGCTTCATATTTACATAAAAACACCATGCTAATAGCAAAGACTTACAGAAGGATTTTTCTATCACTTGGCAAAAAGCCAAGGAAACAATAAGAAACTGCCCCACCTGTTCATTCTGTAATCAAACTCCATTACCAGCAGGCAGTAATCCCAAAGGTATTCACAGAAATGCAACTTGGCAAATGGATGTATTTCACTTTCCAGAATTTTGAAGTTTAAAATATGTGTACCATATGATTGACACTTTTTTCGGGGTTTCAATGGGCCACTGCGCTGAGCTCTGAAAAGGCATTCTGCTATCACACACCTCTTAGAGGTGATGGCTGTTATGGGCATACCTGCACAATAAAAACTGACAGTGCTCCAGCATATGTCTCCAGCAAATTGAAACAGTTTTTCAAATATTATAACATAAAGCACATAAATGGTATACCATACAATCCCACAGGACAAGCAGTGGTTGAGAGATCTAACCACACTTTAAAAGAAATGCTCCATAAGGCTTCAGAAATCTCTGGGGCCTTGGGTAGTAGATTAATGTTCACCAAGGCATACAAATGAACTTTGGGAGCCCATTCCACATGGAGGGATGCTCTCTCAGCGTGGACACATGGGAAATGGCCTAGGTCCTGCCCTGGATGAAATGACAGACTCTGGAGATTCCTCCAAGGAGGGCCTCACTCTCCCTGGGGAATGATGTGGGGATTGGGCTGGGGGGGGAGGGTTGGTAGAGGGACAAGGGAGGAGGTGTGGGAGAGGGAGCTGGAATGAGAAAAAGAATTTTAATAATTAAAAAACTTAAATAAAAAGAAATGCTCCATAAACAGCCAGGGGAAACAAAGACCCCCAAACACAGATTACATAATGCTTTATTAACACTAAACTTTCTTAATGCTAATGAGAAAGGACAAACAGCTACAGAAAGACACTGGACAATAGAAAAAAAAAACTTCTAAACTAAATCAGCCGGTGTGTTTCAAGGATGTAATTACCTTATTATGGAAACCAGGATGTGTGTTACTTTAGGGAAGGGGTTTCACTTTAGTTTCTGCAGGAGAAGAAAAGCTTTGGATACCATTAAAATTGATCAAGATTCGATCTAAACAGGAGAAACCTCAGGAGGAGGAAAGATAACAACTCATCCACAAAGTCATATTCCACCAGGTATATGGAGACCTCACAGAGGAAAGGGAAGTGTTTTGCTCTTGTCTTAACAGGAAATCCCATCTCAAAAAAGCAAGAAGACACCAAATGTGTAGATACCTAAACAAGAGAGGATGGCTAGCCAAAAGAACCATCAAACAAAGAAGAATCTGATATTTGGTATCAATGTCTAATTCTCTCAGCTTGTATCCTTACAAAATCTATTTCTCTTTACTTCCTAATACTCTTTTGGTCCCAACTCATTTAAACCAATGCTGGCTTTGGAGTTGGATTTGGCTTTCCTCCTCTAACTCCAAGCATGTTGTTAATATAAAATTCAGAGTTTCTGTATTATATCAAGGAGCCAATTGATTTAAGACAGAAGAAAACAAAATCTAGGGACTGTCATCTGGTTATAGTCGGTTCTTTCTCTGAAAGTCTAATTTCCCTCATATTTACTATCTTCCTTATTGTTGCCTTTCCCGGTATGCATACATATAAAAGTTGAAATTTTTTTGTTGACATTAACGTTTGAGTTTTTCACAGAGAACAAAGAATTTCCTAACAGCAATCTTCAAACACTCCGGAAAGAAAATGGGACCCCACTTAATCAATTCCACCTGATCCGACTTGATGCATCTGAACTGACAAGTACCACCCTGAAAACGGTTTAGGACTATATCACTCTAGACAACTCCAGAATAATTAACTGATATGGTGCACCCTCTTATTACATTCTGGCCAAAGCCTCAGACAAGAATTTCAATCGAGATAAGAACTTCAATCAAGTCTAACAGAGACTGGGTACAAATGTTGTAGCTGGTCCACTTGAGACTTTCACTACACTAACATTTTCTTCCCACAGGATCCCATGAGGTTATTGCCATCCCATTTCAGCAGGAAGTAATTCTGAGAATATTACGTCCTCTTTCCTTACTGTTGATGTTACAGGATAATTTACACCTGTTTAGAGTTAGTTTTCAGTTGTTTAGGGTTGGGATTGGGAAGAGGTGTTCAGACTTGGGCATCTCTATCAGATAAGTTTAGGGTTTAGATGGGATAGATGTGCTTTGGATAGGATATAAGTAGATTATAATTTGTTTATCATCTTCTATGTATATATGCTTTATATATGTTTGAGACAGTTTTTCTATTGACACAACTTAGTTTTGTTTCAAGTCTAAATCTTTTTTAGACTGAAAGGGGAATTGTAGGGGGAGATCTAGGTACCTGTGGTGCTGACCACACCCGTTTTGAGCATGGCCACAGGTGTGTTCAGACGTGTGGAATAAAGGACAGAGAAGAGTGGCACTCTCTCTCTTTTGGGGGTTCTGTTTGGGTTTTGGAAGGCTACAGAGACTAACCTGGGTTTTCAGTTTCTTGTGTAAGTAATCTCTCCCTAATAAAATAACATATAACATCCCTATCCTGTGTATGGTAGTCTTCATCTTACATTCTTGGGTTCATTTTCTGCAGATTTTCTAAGATGAAGGTAAGGAATCATTCCATCATCCCTGGTCCTCATGTCTAGTCCATCCTGGAACATTTTAAAATCTACAGGCAAGTGTGAAACCCAACCAAATCAGTATGTAGAAATGCAAACATCAACACTTAAAACATGCATATCTAGGGATTGATACGGAAAGAATAATGAAATATATATAAATATAAAGAAAGAATAATGAATGATGGGCATAAAGAAACATTAGATGAAAAAGAGCTACCCTTTTCCTAAGGTTTCACTTTCCAGTTTTAATTACACATGGTTAGTCACAGTCCAAAAATAGTCAATGAAATTCTTCATATGTAAGCAGCTTTACACTTCTAGCAATACAGAATCCTAGTCCCTTCCTATCCCCACCTGGCTGGTTATGAGTTTTCCCTTAGTTCAGCATCCCACACTATATGTTCATGTTTACTGCCTTTTACTTAGCTGTCTTAGATGTCCAATGCCCTGGGATGGTATCATCATAGTGCCTGTGTTCAGATCACCCTTATTTATTTATTTATTTATTTATTTATTTATTTATTTATTTATTGGTTTTTACGAGAGAGGGTTTCTCTGTATTGTTTTGGAGGCTGTCGGTCCATCCAGGCCTCGAATTCACAGATCCGCCTGCCTCTGCCTCCTGAGTGCTGGGATTAAAAGCGTGCGCCACCACCGCCCGGCGGGATCACCCTTATTTTAAAATAGCAATAGTCCCAAAGTGGAAGATGCTGACCATCCAGATACAAGAAAGAAAAGCTCTAAAGTTCCTCCATTACGTGAATAAGCAAAAATCCTGGACTTACTAACATCATAGATTGTGGTTGCTAAAATCTATAGTAAAACCAAATCTAATTGGGAAGAATGCTAGCGTTGAGCTCAGATTTTAAAAGTTAACAGTCACAACACATAAGTAATGAGTTAAAATGAAAAGGCCATTCTCTTTCCTATGTGCAGTTCCAGGCATACACAGACTCTTGCAATGTAGTCTCTATGGTTAAAGGGGACTACCATTTTTATAGTTTGTGACTTAAGGGGATTGCTATGTTTATAGTTTGATTTCCATTTATGAAAATCATGTGCCTGTGCTTAAAGGTATAACATATAGTCACTCAGTTTTTGCCCTATTCATTATCTCTGTTTTCTTATTGTTGTTTTTAATAACACGGCTGTTGTTTTATCTACTCATTTTTATGTAACCTACTTCATGGAATCCTGCTTTAGAATATTTAGGGCAAAGCTTGATTTATAGACTCTCTTCACATCCATTACTTTTCATAAAAGCTATAAGAACATCAAGGCTGTCACATTTGTGTTAATACAATATAAAGACACTTGAAGAATTGTCCTTGATTAATACTCCCAATAAGAGTCAGTCACTGCGTGTCTGACATAATTCCCAGTGCAAGCTTAGTCAGTGGCCCCACTAACCTTTGGTGGAATTTCCGAGTCTGGATCGTGTTTTGACTCATATCTTGATTCCTTAATCTCAGCCTTGATTTCAGCTCTGACCCTGGATGTTTTAGGAAACTGGGATACAAAGCCCTTTTGCCTCTGTTTTGCCACATTGATCCAAGTTGGCTCTGGAGTGCTGTCTGCCTTCAAACTGGCAGTCTTTTCTGAAAAAGAAATGAAAGAATTAGAACAGAAACCAGGCAGACAGGGTCTTCAGTCTAGTGGAGGTTGCCCATAATAGTGTTCTAAATGGGTTCCTTTCTGGTTGCCAAACAAAATCAGATACCACTTAGAGAAGGGCCATTCTCATTTGTCCCCTTCCTACAAACTGGGAAGGCATGATTAAATAGTTAAATACTTGTGCATTAAAACGAGCATACTGTCCCTTTCTTTCCTTTAGTCATCCCTCTTTATCAGAGCAGGACAATGGTTGACAGGCAGGCTGAGTAAATTCTCAAGATGCCAGAAGCTCAGACCATTGATATAATTCTTCCAACTCTACAAAAAAGCTTACAGAGTCTGTTACTTCTTTGTCCCTTGTGCAGATGTCATGGTGAAATAGGTGTGATCAGAGGCAGAAACAAGAGTAGGCAGGAATGATACTGAAGGCACAATTTTTTTAAAAGAGTAGCACTCGACAGGTCACCTTGATGGGATTAAATTAAGATGATTTCAGGGTAAGATTGTAAAGATATTGCTCTTAATGAACTGGGTTTTGGAGATCTGCTTTGGAGATCAAAGTGACATGGTGTATGTGAAGTTGTTATATTTTTTTAGACACAGCATTTTGCCCAAAGAATGCTATACAGGAGGTAGATGGGGAAGGAAGAGGCAGTGATTATGTGTCTGTGAATGTAAAGTGAATGGAAGTCCTTACTGCTGCCTCTCTGGAAAAGGGAAACCTGCAAAGGTGTTCTTTCTGAATCTATTCATCCAGAGTGGGGCACCATCCCACCTCTAAACCCACAGCTGGTTCTATCAAAGCAACAGTACAGTTGGAAGCCTAGAGGCTAGAGAGTTCACGGCCTATCCATTCAAGACTTTGCCTTACAGGCCTTCCCTCCACCTGGAGAGACAAAACTCTCACCTGGAGGCCTGTAAACTGCAGGTTTCTTGGAAGTGCCTTCATATTTGGAACTGCTCCCTTGCTTTTCTGCAATGCTAACTGCTTGGCTGAGCTTCTCTAGGCCTCCACTGACGGCCTGGGGAGCGCCTTTGTTCATCTGTTCTTTGTTTGCTGTGATGTCTGGCATGAAAGGGTCTGGATTCTCCATCCCACTCTTCTGTGAGATTCTTCGCAGTCGCACTCCGAAAACATTTTCGACATCAACCTTGGTGGATGAAGGACTGTCACCATCATCACGACACTGAGGAATTCCCTCTGTAGAGTAAGCGCCTGTGGAAACGACTGCTTTCTGGGCAGGAACAGTAGTGAACTTGCTAGGTTTGGTAATAGAAGTTGAGGTGCTTTTAGTGAAGTCCCCATAGCCTTGTGTGTATTTCATGGTTTTCTTTGGAGAATCTGGGTGTTCGGGCATGGGCCAGCTGTCAGTATTCTTCTGAGAAATGGTTCCTTCAGCGGCAGCATTGACAGAACTTAAATAAACTTGTTGCTGATAGTCACTCATCAAGAAACCCTGAGTAGACTGACCGGGTGGCTGGTGCTCCTCAGGACAGCTCCACTCCACATTTGCAGAACCTGTTGAAAACATCGGTGGCTGCAACCCAGCTACATCAAAGGCTTGAGAAGGCTGTGTGGAAGGCAGCTGTCCTTCAGACCTCTTCCACTCTTCTGGAAAACTGACAGAGGTTGACACTTTCTGCCTGCGCTCAAGCTTTCCCAGGAGCTGAGAGACGCCCACTGCAGCACTGCTCCATTTCATAGGGGTGCCTTCAGAATATGATAGAACATCCTGTGGCTCTTCGGGCCCTCTGGGTGACTGCGAAGGCTGCTTCACGGGCACGTTCTTCAAAGCGGTGTCTCCCTTGGGTTCATCATCCCAGTTATATAGGAAAGCTTGTTCCTCAAGTTTTGGCTTCAGTAAGGATCTGGAAGGACGGCTTCGACTCCGAAGCGTGGGCTTTGCATAAATGTCAGTTTCGCTAGCAGTGCTCTCTGAAAACATTTGCTCAGTCATGAACTTCATAAGTAACTGGGAGGAAGCCCTGCTATCCTGAGCTTTCTTAGCACTTTCTTGAGCAACAGCACTCTCGAGATGGGAGGGCATTTCCTGAACGTTAGATCCCGTTAAGAATGAGGTGGGAGCTTTGGGAGGCTGTGGCATCCAAGGAACACCTCCCTCCATAGAGGTACTCTCAAAACTTGACGGTGTTTTCTGGACTTGCGGCTTGATAATAGCTTGGGAAAGATTTTTGGAAAGCCATGCCTCCTGAGAAATGCTCCCCTCTTGAGCAACACCTTCTAGACTTGAGGTTTGTTGTTCAAATTCAGGGCCCAACCATGACTGAGGAGCATATTTGGAAGGCATTGACTCGATAGGAATGCCCCATTCTCCAGAAGCTCTCATTGAATCTGGGGAAACGTCTTCCTTGAATCCCGCACTTATTGGGGGCTTGGAATGATGTCTTCCAGGCCTCATCATTACAGAAACATCCTCCTCTGCTCCATAAATCTCTGGATCTACTCTTGGCTGGAAAGGGAATCTAGATGGCGTTAGCTCCATGGTACTGCTCTGTGGCACAGACATACCCACTATCTCAGGAGAGACTGGTTGTTGGACTACTGATCCCATCGAGGGCTGAGAAAGCATTCTGGGAGCTGGTGGCTCAATAGGCATGCCCCATGCTGGTGTTGCAGCACTGTCTGGGGGTACAGAGACTTGTTCAAATGGAGAAGGCGACCATGACTGCAAAGGGTGTCTAGGAGACGTTGGCTCTATGCTGCTGATCTGTTGTACAGATGTGTTCATGGATCCTGTGGAGACTGGTTGTTGGACTACTGATCCCATCGAGGGCTGAGAAGGCATTCTGGGAGCTGGTGGATAAAAAGGAATGGACCAGGCAGCAGGAACATTGCCAGGGGGTACAGACATTTGCTCAAAAGTAGGAGTCAGCCATGGCTGGGAAGGGCATCTGGGAGAATCTGGCTGCTTAGAGATATCCCCTTGGGCCTCAGGGCTGTCTGAACCTGTAAGAACTTTCTTAAATTTAGGACTAGCCTGTGTTTGGAAGATATGTTGAGCAGACGTGGGATCCATGGGGCTGCCCCACTGAGTGGAAGTGCTTGCTGGATCTCGGGTCATCTGTGGCTGGAATTTGGTCTTTACTGAAGGTTGGGGAGGCAGTAGCTCCGCCAAAGTGGTGCCTTGTGCAGAGGCGCTTTCTGAGAACAGTTGACTTTGAGGATTTAGTAATAACTGAGCTGAATACTGGGTATGCAGTGGGCCCATGGAAATGACCTTAGCAGCAACAGCCTCTGATTCTAAAGGCACATTTTGATAAGGCTGTTGCATAGGCTGGGGAAGGGTAGGAGGTACATGCTCCATAGAAGTGTTCCCTTCTAAAGCTGTGCTCTCTGGAGTTGAAAATGATTGCTTCCCGGGGGGGTTTATCCATGGCTGGAAAGAGTGTGCCATAAGCCTTGGATCCATAGAAACCCCTCTTTCAAAAGCAGAAGCCTGATGCTGCATGAAGGGCTGCATTGGGGTCTGAGCAGGAAGGGGCTCCATAGAAACAGGAGGCAGAGGCTCCAGAAAATGACTTCCCTCAAATGCAGCACTTTCTGCACCCAACGGTAATTCCTTCTTCATGCTTGGTCTCATTAAGGACTGGGAAGGGTATCTGGGAGGCTGTGCAGCAACACCCTCTTCAAAAACAGCACTCTCTGGGCCTGCACATGGACATGGCTCAAGTACTGGTCTGACTGGAGGTTGAGAATGGTGTCTGAGAAGCAAGGACTCCATAGACGCCACCTCTTCCATGGTCGAAATATCTGGACTGGAGGAGACATTTTGCTCAACATTGTACCCCACTGGGTGCTTCGAAGCCTTTATAGGAGATGGTGGCTGTATAAAAATGTTCCAGTCATCAGGAACGCCCTCTGGATCTGCAAACACTTGATGTTCAGACTGAGAGCTCCCCCATGACTTGATGGTGTGGCTGGGAGACAGTGGCTGCACAGGTTTGCTCTGTCCTGCAGAAATGTTCACTGAAACGGGGGGTTGCTGCTGAGTAATAGGGCTCACAGTGGGTGGAGAAGTGTGTATGGGGTGCATTGGCATGGCAGAAACACTCGATTCATTTGGAACACTCTTCAAAACCGGGGACACTTCCTGCTGCTCTCTGGACTGACCCCGGGCCTGCTTGGAACTTTCAAGAGACTGCTCTTCATCCGAGCTGGTCAGATCCTCAGAACTTTGGTATCTATCGATGTAACTGCTTGATTCTGTGGAGAATTCCTTTTCTTCAGACTCCTGCAATGTCTGGGGATGCTTCTCGGGAGCCAAATGCTCTCCAGATACAGAATCTAAGATAAAACTTCTTGATTCTGGACATTCTTCATACTCCTCAGAGGACTGGGAGGACTGGGCAGATGTCATCTCCTCACTGCTTCCCGGTTCTTCTGAAGACTTGTCAGAGACTGAGAGGACTTCTCTAGCTTTGGCTTTTCCTGATGACTGGGAGGAATAGCCAAGAGGCTGCTTCTGTTCCGTCTTGTCCACTTCTGCATCTGCATTTTCTGATTTGGGGAAGACATCGTCATCATCCTGAGGGTTCAACGCAAGCTGGAAGGAATGTGGAGGGATCGGCTGCACTTCAGAACTACTCTCGTACTCTGAAGTACTCTTTGAATCAGAAGAGACTGTCCCTGCATTTGGCCACCTTCTGAGAGGAAGAGGCAAAACCTGCATAGAAGCATCACCTGCGGTAGTAACAGTTGAAGCACTTGCTGGAAAGACCCGAAGGCCACCTCTAGGTTGCCTCTCTTTGTGGTAACTTGTGCTCTCCAAAGATAACTCCATTTTGGGTTGAAGCTTTTGCAAACCAACTTTGGATGCTTCTTTCTCTTCTCCATGGACTTGAGGAGGATGCTTATGCTCTTGGGCCTCCACTGCCCTTGAGACAGTGGCTTCTTCTTCACTTGTAGAAGATCTTCTTGCCTGTGGCAACAAAGCATCTCTATCCTTTTTCTTCTTGCTTTCAGAAGACCCTTCCTCACGGCTGGGTGGTGGACCACTAACCCTGGACTCTGCCACATCTGTAGGTCGTGGTGCTGGTGATCTTCGGGTTTCAACATCTCTGTCAGCCATTTTCCCCTTCACATCCCTTTTATCTGCGGGCATCTCCCGAGGAGTAGGACCTTCTGCAGTCGTGATCTGCTCTGTGCCTTGCTTCTCCAGGTAACGCTTCAAGATTGAGTGCTCCCTACCAGCCAACTCTTCACTAGGTGAGGGTTCAGCTTTACTGCCCCGGTCACGCTCTTGAGTGGATTTTACAAGGCTCTTTTCTATGATCCCCAACTCATTTTTGACCCTTCTTCTACGTCTTCTTGGGAAGGATTCTGAAGTCGAATGGCCTGTGCTCGAGGCAGCATCGGTGCTTAGAGTCTGATCCCTTGTCTTCTTATCTTGAGTTTCAGTTTTGTTGCTCTGGTCCTGGCTTGGGGGCCCTGTACCAAATGTAAAAAACAAAGGAGAGATGTGTCTGCTTTTGACTTCCTAAAACACTACTATTCTTCTCTGTCTACATTTGCTACCAAATTCACTGATATAAAGATGCAACTATGCAGAAGACATTGCCTTGATCACTATTAGCTTTAAGCTATGGGGAATGTTTCTATCAAAGGGAAATTTCAGTTCTATGAGCAGATAGTCTTGGGCCGGCTTATTAGCACTTCATCAGTAGTCTGGCTGACCAATAGGTGTGAGATTCAAAATGAGGCAAATTGTGATTTTGTAACAATGATTACATTTGAGAAACCTGACTGGAGCAGGAGCAAGGAGAATTCTCTGTAAATGAATTTTATATTATTATTTTGTGTATGTGGATATTTTTGCCTACATGTATGTCTGTGCACTATGTGTATGCCTGGTGTCTGGAAAGGTCGGAAGAGGGCCTCACATTCCCTGGAACTTGAGTCACAGATATTTGTGAGCCTCCAAGTGAGGAAATTGAACCCAGGTCCTCTGAAAGGGCAGCAATTGCTCTTACTGTCTGATCTGTCTCTCCAACCCAGCAGGGGAAATTTTTTACTTTCTGATTAGTATTCCTACTTTCTATAAAGTACTTATCCAAACTTCTTGAAATGATGTATTATATGGATTCATGCTTTTATTTCAGAAAAATGTCAAAGGAATTATTTGAGAGGTTAGGGTTGTGGCCCCCTTTTCTTCCATTTTCTACCTCCTTGCCTTAAAACAGTACTGTGTAATACACACGTAAAGCAGTTCTTTGAGTACACACCAAGCAGAACTCCCAACATCCCAGCAATTGCATCTGAGCAAGTTTTCGGAACTTTTTCCTATGAAGCTCAGTTTGATCTAGGTGGCAAAGCCCCAATGGCGGTGATTCCTTCTGCACAGACATTGAGTCTGTGGTGCCGCCTAGTGGTTGCAAATGCAGCATACAGAACAGAGAAGAGCTCGGTGTGCTTTTTCTAAGTCAGGCCCTTCCAGTGGAACAGCAACCAAGGTACCCCCAAGGGTATTGATTCAGTTCTAGCTCCATGTATGAAAAATGAGATTACACTGTTAATCTATGTCCCTTCGTTCCTCCTTCTTGTCCTTCTTTGAAAGAGTTTTGTAATGTTTTGTTTTCTGGGGAAGACACGCTTAAAGAAACTACATGAGAAATCATTTGTGGAAAACCCTAACAACCATTCAACTTAGGTGACAGAACCGAAATTTAATTTTGTCAAACACTGCACAAAATTAGCTTGCTATCTAGCTAAAGCTAAAATCCATCCATGCACACGTGAGAACACACAGAGATTTTTCACTCTGGTGGTAACTGTTTGGAAACCGGTGAGGTGATGGCTGCCAAGGATGTCTACCTACAGCTGCACAGAGCTCTGGTAGCCATGGATATGTGAAGTCATTGTGAACAGCAAACCTTCTCTAAACTGGAAGAGAAAGGTAGCTCCTATGAGAATAATGTGGGGGACCCGTTCATATGCTATTGGGGAAGAATGATAAATCGGTTATCACTGACTGCACCCTGTGGAACCCAGCAAGCATATTCATTTGAAAGAACTGAGCATATTTACAAACAACACATCTCTCTAGTCGGGGATTCATTTAGATAGGATAGAAAAGCATGTGTAATCCTCTCCACAAAGCCTGTACAAACATTGCTATTGCCAGTTTAGGTGGAGAATCTCAAGCTGTACTTGTGTGAAACTGTTTTCAGTTAAAAGATTTGTTTTTGTGATTTTTTTAAAGCTGTGTGTATGGGTATATAAATCAGAAAAGGGCCTTAGCCCTTTCCACTAGTAAGCTAGGAAGAAAGAAGAATGACAGAAGGGTCACACAAAGTCTCCACGGGTAGATCCTGCCTCCCTGGGTAGGGGTGAGATGTCCACGAACCTAATGCAGGCATGAGCTTTCATTATTTTTAATTATGCATATGGGTATTGCAGGCAGGTGTCCACAAAGATCACAGGTGTCAGATCCCCCTGGGGCTGGAGTTACATGCAGCTGTGAGCTGCCTTACTTGAGTGCTGAAAACCGAACTGGGGTCCTCTGAAAGAGCGGTACATGCTCGTAACTGCAGAACCCTCACTGAAGCTCCCTTGAATGCATCTGACACTGAAACCTGCAACAGGATCCAGGGTAGCAGGGAATTTTTTGTTTAGAATTCCCACCACACTACTGTGCATTGAAGCCCGAGATCCACGAACTGACAGTAAAGGTATGCTAACCTGTGGGGTCCCTCTTCTTCTCCTTTCCATCTGCTTGTTTTGTCTTAGTTGTAGCCTTTTCTTTAGTCTCCATCGCAGCATGCTGCTCCTCGTGCTTTGCTTTGGCCTAAAACAAAGTTTAAAAGAAAAAAAGCTTCATTCTGATGTCAAGCTCCTTAGGCCTTACATGAGTGAGCTGGGCAGAAGGCAGAATGCCAGAAAGGTTGCACCAAGTCCTCCCATAGTGGAGAACCTGCCTCCCTGGGCTGTGGTGAAATGTCCAGAGGCCTAAAGCATGCATGGGTTGTGGTCTCTCAGTTCCCCTGCTTCTGGAGCTGCTCTCACAACTCATATTTCATCTGTGTTTTAAAGCAAAATTGAGATGTCTTTTGTAATTTTTTTTATTTTCGAGATTATAATATAAAGACAACATTCCTCCATTCCTTCTCCTTCCTCCAAACCCTTCCTCCTTGTTTTCTTTTACATCCATGGCCTCTTTTGTCATTATTATTATTATTATTATTATTATTATTATTATTATTATTATTATTATTATTATTATGTGCGCATATACATGCATTATATTCCTAAATACTACCTGTTCGGTCTATATATGATGTTATTTACATGTATGTTTTCATGGCTGATAATTTGGTATTGATAAAACAGTGCTTTTCCCTGGAGAAAACGATTTCTCCTGATCTTAGCATTCCTTAATTGGCTATAGTTCTTTGTGTAGGGCTGAGGCCTCCCAGCCACTTTGGTACATCTATGGATGTGTCATTGTTCATCTCATGTTTAGGCTGTCATATTAGTAAGTCTTCATGGGTATAGCTTCTGAAAGATAGAGGCAACTTTGAATGAGTACCTGCATTATTTGTACTTTCATGCTCTCTCCTATAAAATATTTGTGTTAGCCAAAGCAGCCCTGTACAAGAACGGAACATCCAGAGGCATCACCATCCCTGACTTCAAGCTCTAGTATAGAGCTATAGTCCTGAAATCAGTTTGGTATTGGCACAAAAATAGACAGGTAGACCAATGGAATCTAATTGAAAACCCTGATATCAACCCACACACCTATGAACACCTGATTTTTGTCAAAGAATCTAAAATAATACAATGAAAAAAAGAAAGCATCTTCAACAAATGGCGCTGGCACTACTGGATGCTGGCATGTAGAAGATTGCAGATAGATCCATATCTATCACCAAAACTCAAGTCCAAGTGGATCAAAGACTTCAACATAAATCCAGTTACACTGAACCTGATAGATGAGAAAGTGAGGAGTAGCCTTAAATACATGTGACTTTTAAGAGAATATTTCTTAAATATTTTTGTTTTTTAAATTATGTATGTGATGTGTCTTTGTGTGTGTCTGTAAGTACCTAAAAAGTCCAAAAGAGGACATTGGATTACTGGAGCTGGGATTACAGGTAATTGTGAGCCACCTGACTTGGGTGCTGAGAACCAAACCTGGGTCTTCGTAAGAGCCACGTGAGTTATCAACCATTGAGCCATCTCTACAGACCCCATTGCCATGATTATCACTTATTAACATTGCCTAAATATAGCTCTGCTTGCTAGTAACTCATGCAGAACTCTGTGGCAATGTGTGGTGGTTTTTGGAAGATCTGAATTCTGAATGACTGGCGTTGCTGAAAGCCTGGTCTCCAGTGAATGAAGGGAGCAGCATGGTAGTTTATAACTCATGGGTCTCAAGTGACGAATAAATAAATGGATCTTCATCCATATTTAGGCTTTAATAACCTCTTCAGAGAACTGAGGTGATTTCCAGGCACCAAACCAATAAGTAGGCTGTACGGGGTTAACTGTTTCAGCTTTCCCCACTCCCTTTTATAGAAGTTTCAAATAGACGGAACATTTCATGTAAGCCACACAAGTTCGCTTGCTCACTGCATGCATCTAGGCCAGGACAGTGCCATATTTACATTACTATCCCTACATGTCCAGACATGGCCCTCAGGTAGCATACGGCCACATGTGGCCAAGAGTATCTATGAATGTGGCCCAACACAAAACCACAAACTTAAGGTATGAGATATTTTGGGTATTTTTTAACAAAGTTCTGAAGCATAAACTTTGTAGATAAGAACGCCATGCCACAATATCCAAAGGTCAGACACATACAGTTTCCTAAAAGCAGAGGGCAGAGGCCAGAGCTCATCTTTACTCACAGTTTAATGCAGAATCTCTGGAAAGACTTACAGACAAGGACATTGTCTTCTTCCTCTTCTGTTTCCGGGGTTTTACAGCTATCTTGTGTTTAGCAGCTGAAGAATCCAAACAGCCTTGAGAGGTGGCTGGGGTGCTGAACCCCGAAATCTGCTGAGTGCTGCTTTGGGAGGATATATCAAGATCTGAGGACAGTTCCGAGGTGCTCTGGAAAGTGGGAAATATACGTGAGTCAATCCATGTAGACCCTGCCACTGCCCTTGAAGCCAGAAATGTTTCTTCCTTGCTGAGGAACGCCTAAGGAAACCTTTTGTGCATGGCTGCCCTCTTTCCTTCCCCTTTCAGTTTAAATACCACACTTTGGTTCCTTTGTAAAAGAAAGTGAGAAATAGGAGGTAACTGGGGATTCTCCCTCATCCAGGAAGCAACCAGGGGCGCTGTAGTACCCTCACAATTAGAACACAAGCACATAGTGGCGTCTATAAGGTGGAATGTTTGTATGTTCACATGCCCCATCTTCCCTTCTTAGTGAGAGGAAGACATCCATTTATGAATGAAATCCCCTGGGGCTTAGGGGCTGCTGCATTGTGGAATTAGGGGGAGGGAGAAAATCCAGTTGGAAGAAGGCCTGTTTGCAAGCTGTGTTTTCATAGAGAGCTCACTAACTATATTTACTGTTCATAGATCCAAAGCTAATGGGAAGACTTGGAACAGACTTTTCCTACCTCCAATAAATCATAGACAAAGACTGTAACCTTGTCCTCATTATGGTTGGCTCCACCTCCCCAAGCTACCTCCCCAAGCTATTTGGTTCTGAGATACCTGGTTCCATTCCTTGGTAGGAACTTTGAAATAGTCCCCTGGGGGAGTATGGGCATAACATTTTCTATGCTTCCAAGAGAAATACCAGAGCTCACTTACTCCTAAGTACCTGCGAAGAAGACTCACTGAATGTGTCATCTTGCTCCTGCACATCAGTAGCACATGGTGTCATGTTTCTTTTGTGTTTATCCACTAAGTCCTTTTCAAAGTAGTGTTGCATGGTGCCAGGGAGCCCTTGGCAAGAGGCAGAGTTCACATGTCCCCACATTTCCTATGATGCTGTATGTCCTGGCATTCACTCTGTAGACCAGGCTGGCCTCAAACTCATAGAGATCTGCCTGCCTCTGCCTCCTGAGTGCTGGAATTAAAGGTGTGCACCACCACTACCCTGCTTCTCTTAACTTCTTTATTCAACTATCATCTATTAATTTATTAACACTTATAATCTGTCCTCATCTTTCTACCATTTACTGATCCAGACACACTGCTGATTTGCTATTCTTCAAACAGTCCAAGCATGCTCTCCAGAGTTCTTTCTACTGATGGCATGTTATCTACCATATCCATAAAGCTAGGTCTCTCCCTTACATAAGGTCTCTGCTCAGAATCTATCTTCTCATTGAAGTCTTCCAAGGCCAACCTATTTAAACATTTTATCACTGATGTATGTGTGTGTGTGTGTGTGTGTGTGTGTTATGCCTTGTGTCCACTTGTGCACCCATGAAGGCCATAGGTCAACACATTAAATGTCCTCCTCTATCACTCTCCACTGTTGTGGAATATTAGTTTAAGATGTGCTACATTTCTTTATGCTGTGGAACATTTGTTTAATGATACAAAGATGTGTTGCATTCTTTTATGCTGCAGTTGTTTAACTCTGTGAAGCTGTGTTACTTTACCTGCTTTAACCACCTGATCAGTCTAATAAAAAAACTGAATGGTCAATAGTAAGGCAGGAGAAGAATAGGCATGGCTGCCAAGCAGAGAGAGTAAGATAAACAGGAGAAGAAATGTAGGCTCAAAAGAAGAGCTAGGAGTGAGGAATGATGGAGACGAGGACAATAGGGGCCAGCCACACAGCCAACAACTAGGCATGGAGTAAGAAGGGAAGAAAGACATATAGAATAAGGAAAGGTAAAAATCTAGAGTCAAGACATAGAAGAAGAGAAACAGGATAATTAAGGTAGAAAAGCTGGCTAGAAACAAATCAAGGCCAGGAATGAATAAGTAGGAATAAATCTCTATGTATTTATTTGGGAGCTGGGTGGCGTGCCCTCAAAGAGTTTTAAAAAACGCCTATACTCCACCTTATTTCTTGACACAAGGTCTCTCAATGAACTCAGAACTTGCCATTTTGGCCAGAATGGCTGGTGAGCCCCTGAAATCCTTCTGTCTTTGTCCCCCCTGCCCCGGCACTGAGGTTACAGATGTATGTGCTGCCACACCTGGCTTTTCCATAGGTTCTGAGTACAGGATCTCATCTTTTTACAGCTATCACTTTAACTGAGCCATCTCCCAAGCTCCAGCTCTGACATTTTACAATCACCTTTCTGGTACCATTTTTTTCCCCTCACACTTTTATCACTGTCTTATATATGTTTTCTTTCCTAATCTTTCACTATCCATATTCCCCATTACAGTTTGAACCCTATAAAGAAGTCTTTTCATTTATTGTATTTGTTTGTTTGTTTGTTTATCTATATATCTATCTATTTATTTATTCAGTACATCTGTATGGATGAACATGAGCATGAGCATAAGGCTAGAGGACAAGTTCAGATGTTGCTCTTCGGGTGATAGCTGCCTTTTCCTTTTGAGAAAGGATCTCTCACTGACCTTGAATTCATGAAATAGGCTAGTAGGGGTAACTGGCAAGCCTCAGGGATCCACCTGTCTCCACCTCTCCAGTGCTAAGATTATAAGTGAATGCCACCACACTTCACTTTTTAAAAAATGAATTCTGAGAGTCAAACTCAAGTCCTTGTGATTATAAGACCAGAAATGTACTAACTGAACCACATACCCAACCCTCACCTTGCCTCTTTATACCGTGTGTCTAAGTGTATAGTTGATGTTTAGCAATGATTTTTCACTGATGAATTACTTGTGTTAAAAGCTTCCACCAGATTCGCCAGTCTGAATATTGGCCAAGCAAGCTCCTCTGTTTCTTGTGTCATTTAGTCACTATTTCCAGTTAAAAGAAAAATATATGGATATGGAAACGCTAAAAGGAAACCATGCAACTTTCTTTGTATAAAAGCCAACTTAGGACCAATTTTCATTCGACTGACCTCCCAAACCTTACAGTATGAACACTACATAATAGCATCTTTTTTTGCTCTAGTGACACTCATTCTATAATATAACAGAAAGATCAGGCTAAGGAAAAACCTGTCAATTTCCGGACTGGGTGTGTAGTAAAGGGAGTTAACTCATTCCCAATCACAGTCAAAGTCAAGAAGCTATCAAATTTAACCACAACTAGTCTTCTCGTGGTAGTTCAACTCTCATTGATCTAAGCACTGACCTACATCTATCCCCCAATTTAAAATAAAAACCAGAAAGCAAAATCACCTGACTATGGGACCTTGCACTCAATCATACCATTCAAACTAGCTCCCAGAGGCTCTTTGAGGCTCACAGTATGTTGTGTGGAAATGGAGTATGTATTTCCTATTTGGATTTATGTATTTCCTTTAACCCATCAGTGGGTTAAACAAAAAGTACATACTCTGGAGATCTGGACAGTATTTCTTAGCATCAGATTCAGGGACACACACACATATTAAAATCATCAAGAAATGAGTATTAAAAGGTACATTTTGGGGAACACACCAAGACTGGTGTATCTCAGTGGTAGAGCATGTGTTCAACACGTGAAAGCGCCTGAGTTCAATCTCCAGTTCCAAAATCAAAATAAAAGAGACCTGAGGGATAAGAATATCAGGCAATAGGCCCTAGAATGGCTTGACAGACTCTGAATTTTTTTGTTTTTTACGAGACAGGGTTTCTCTGTATTGTTTCGGAGGCTATCGGTCCAGCCCGGCCTCGAACTCACAGAGATCCACCTGCCTCTGCCTCCCGAGTACTGGGATTAAAGGCGTGCGCCACCATCGCCCGGCCAGTCAGACTCTGAATTTTATTTTAGGTATTTTAGGGCCAGAGTAAAGAATAAGAACTGACAACTGATCTGAAAATCTTCAAATGAAAGCACATGGAGTTCATAAATAATCCTATGAATTGTCTTAGAGGTCCCTTCGTATGCCTCATCTCTTCCCTCAAGCATATTGTTTAGTGTCTCCTTAGAAAAGTTACCAAGGGAGTCAATCATAAGATAGTTTGAGTTACCTGGGAAGAACAAATCTCATGCCCTTCTGGAAGGACTCTGAAAGGAAAGGTGAGTAAAGAGAATGGTACTCAGACCAGCTCGCACTCTATGTACCCATGTACAGTGTTAAGATATATGGAGCTGTTTTCCTCTCTTCTGTGTGTAAGAGGGGATTTGAATACAGGCATCCTTCCTGGGGAAGAAAGCTGGTTTATGGCTTCAGGCAAAGAAGTCCTGGTTGGTAGGGATTGGACTGGACATCCTTGCTATTAGCTAGATTAATGGAGGTGCTTTGAAAAATTAAAACACATTTCATTTCCATTTTCCCTCCTGTCAAGTATCTAGACCCAACAGGAAGCATCTCAGTCAATAATGTGAAGGGATATGAAGAACCAGCCTACCTCCATCATAGGCTCAAAAGCCATTTATAGTAAAGACAAACTATGTTCATTATTGTTTATGATTAAACCTGATTCTCAAGGATTGTATTATGCCCTGCCTATAGCCTTAACTACAAATGGCTCTGTATTGCCTGTTCCAAGAAAGGAAATTATGTTTATAACCATCTTGCAGCACTACCTTTGTTCCAAAAGGTTATATGACCACCTATGACAACCTATTTTTATGACTACCTTGTTATGTTCACATTGCAATTATGTCTATGCTTCAGGTGGTTGTTAGGACTAACTTGCTATGCTTATGTTCTGCTCCTGTAACACTGCCTATTTTGCCCACCAAATCTCCCATTTGGAAACCCCCTATCCCTGAACAATAAAATAGCCATGTTTTCATCACATCCAATGCCGACGTCTTGATGCCTGCCTTAGGGAGAGGCAGCCTGTGTACACGAATACAAAAGTTTGCTTTAATTAATTGCTTACAAAAATTAATCTGGCCATGGTGATTTGAGTCGATGGTCTTTTTCTTCCCATTTTTGGAATTAACAGGTAGAAAGCAGCTGGGTTGGCTTCTTAGGATGTTAAGTAAGAATAATAGTCATGAGCTATAGCACAGTCTGTAAGCCCAGCAATTGAAAGACTGCAGCAGGAGGATTTGGAGTGCATGGCCAGCCTAGGCTATATGGTGAGAGCCAACCCTTAAAAATTGGAAAACCTAACTGGGATTGACATGTAAAATTGACATGTAAAACGAGCTTGTTTCTAATTTAAATAAAAAAATTTAAAAATGGAAAACCTATGGACTATTAGGTCCATGTTTCATCAAACAAAGTGAAGGTTGGCACTTTGTGGAAAATATAGTCTGCAGCTATCCAGGGGGGTCTCACACTGAGATGCTGTGGAGCCTGATCTGTGTGAGCCAAGGCTGTAAAGTACACTTCCTTGGTAATGTCTCCAGAGGAAGCACAGATCTCGGTGGAAAAACAGTTATCAGTAAGAAATGTTTGTGCTAAGATATACGGGCACCGGGTGTAAGAATTACTATTGACTGGTAGATTGTCTTTTTTGTTTATTCTCTGGGTGTGCTAAAGAAATGTATGTCCCCATTCCTGATAATGCCTACTCAGCTACAGATTAATTCAAATTCTTGGTACATAAAGACTGCTGAGGTCAATACTTTTCCAATTTCAACATTCTAGGTAGTGGAAGTTCCGATGTAGCCTTCATCCTCCCTCCTAATACAATTGTTTCAATTTCTTAACTCAAATAGAAAATAAGAACATGAAGCATGTGGCTGAGTGCACCAGTGGCAAAACATGTGCTCCGTGAACATGAGACCCTGGGTCTCTCTCTCTCTCTCTCTCTCTCTCTCTCTCTCTCTCTCTCTCTCTCTCTCTCTCTCTCTCTCTCTCTCTCTCTCTCTCTCTCTCTCTCCTCTCTCTCTCTCTGTGTAATTAAATAGCACTTAATTTGAGATTATGACCATACCATTTCCTGACTCAAGTTTCCTAACCTTTTTAAGTCTCAATCAATAATAAAGACTTTGATGTGTCACTGCAAAGATTAAATAAGATGACACATGAGAAGTACTTAGCACAGTGCCTTTCACACACACACACACACACAAACTTTATATAGTCCATATTTAACATGTTGAAGGTAAGACAGTTGTCAGCTTCCCTGTTGCATTAGCTAATGAATAATGTCTTTGCTACTGTCAGATATTGATTGTTCAAGTTTACAGGACTGCTAAAGGTTACCTGGCTCAACGATAAGTACAATGGAATATGGGTAGGATTCCCGGGTTCAAGTTTCAGCCTTATCTCTGATCAGCTCTGTGGCCTTGTCCAAATCGTTTCACCTTCTGAAACTAACTTGTTTCATCTAAAATGAGCAGGTAGTATCTTTCCTTTCACATCTTACTTAAAGTCTTATAAAGAAAGCCAAGTGCTCTGTAAACTGCCAGTTTCCATATGATAATTGGAGGTGCTATTCCACTCTCCTCTGATTTTCACATGAATTTAACAAAGAATGCTCTGCGTTTCAGAGACTTAGAAATGTTATGAGTGAATTAATTGTGAAGAAAGTCACCAAAAATAACACAAGAATCGTGATGGGAAGGAAGCAACTGTGTGACGAACTAAAAGAACTCCATTAGCCAACATAACGGAAGAACTGAAAACAACCTGCTAACACAAAAATATTTACCCTTCATTGGAACTAAGGCTGGGCTGGTTAATCAGCTGATATTAACCTGTTCCACCCTGTTCACAAGTGAGAACAGTTATTTGGTCCTATGTGCATGACTTCTTTCCCATTCAATTATTTTTCATCTTAAACACAATACTGAAAACAGATATCTACTACTGCATCATGCCTGGAGATGACCAAAGTTTTGGGAATGATGAGGTGCTGGGAAGCCTTAGGCAAGCCGATCCCCTGCTTAAAGTGTAAGGTGAATTACTCCCTGCTCAAGTCCAAATATCTACTAGGAGATGTTTGGATTCCTCTGCATGACAAACACTGAGATCAGACCCAGAGTCACATGTCATATGTTATGTGCAGAAATACCTCTTCGTGCTCACTGCCTTTCTTGCCTAATGCAAAGAACTGGAGCCCCTACCCTACTAGAGGCCTAAAACAGCAGAAAATCACGTGCTTTGAAAATTGGAGCTGAAACATCTCTCTCCGTCTAAGGACTTGGAAGAAGAAGCTGTGGTGGCAATCACTTAAGTAAGTCCCAATTCCATCCCAGGGGGCTCTGTCATTGTTTACTCTGACCTATCTAGATGTTTTCTACTCTGCTTAGTTTCCTTCTTGCTGGTCAGTGAGAAAACAATGGGAACTGGGTTTGTGGGGAAGCATCTGGGGAGTCACCACACAGGTACTGGGTTTCCGTTTGAGAGAACCAAACAAGCTCTAGACCTATATAGTGATGGTGGGGATATGTAATCCCACCAAATCCCACTCTAAAGTAGTTTGCATGATTAATTTTACGTTAACCACATTTTCCCACAATAAGAAATGGTATCTAATTCAATCCTTCCACCAACTCAGACTGCCCATTCCAATCCATCTTATTTAGTGGGGCTCTGCAGAAAATAGTCATAACTCAATTCCATACATTAACGATTTCCCATCCACTTACTGTCAGTCTGTGCTTTAACTTTAGTCTAACCTAATTTCTTATGTAGCCAAAGGCTGCTTTTCTTCATGCAACCTTTTTTTTTAAGTTGGGTCCTTGCAAATGCTACGTTACATCCCCAGATGATTTACAGGATCGTTTAACAACAAAATAGTTTTATTCGACAGGCTAGTTATTTTTGGTATAAATTATGTTCTGTTTACTTTTAGTTCCCAGTATTAATGACTTCAAATTCTGAATCCATCTAAGTTCACAACAACAATTAAGGTAAACACAAAATTAATTTGATAATGGAGATGTTAATATGAGTAAAATCTACTAATTTGACAACTGTTAATGGATGCTACTTGGTCCACAGATCTAAACACACAAAACATATATGAATGCATGCACACTAGTCTGCCAACTGCCTTTTATTAAAGTAGACAGAACATATTACATTACCTAACCTCTGGCTTCTTTTATTTAAAAGTGTACAGTGTTTGTTTCTATTAAAGAAGTTCCATTTTAGTGTTTATAAAATAGCTGAACATATCCACAAACTATTATGGATTTCAGAAACAATGTCTTTCATTGTTTATGAGTTAAACTGGTGATTATCTGGTTTCTAAAACTGAATGGAAAATGTAAACCATAATGCAACACAAAAGCCAAGAGTGGCAGTTTTTTTTTTCCAAACAAAATGCCATTCCGGTTTGCCCCTGGAGTTGAAGCATTATGTCTTTGACAGGCAGCCACCCTTGAACCTATCTATCCCCGAGAGTAGAACTAATATTCACCTTCCTTGTTGTTGATGAACAGTGTGATGAAGATATCCCTTTGGAGCTCGTGGGTGTGTTGTCATCAGCTGTCTCCAAGTCCTTGGAGACTTTCTCAGATCGGATAGCACTGGGGCTGATGCTGAGTTTCCGGGAGCGTGGAGATGGGGTCTATAAAAAGGGAGAATGGATGAGATTCAACCTTGGGTGTTTTCCCTAGGTTACTAGTGTTCTTTTGTTACTTAACTGGTGGAAGACTGACAAGCCAAAGAGAAAAATATGACATATATAAAAAATGCCATAATGAAATCTAGTGTTGTGTAAAATTAATAAGTGCTAATAAGGACTGAGAAATGGCTCAGTAGGTAAAAGTGCCCACCATACAAAGATGAGGATCTGAGTTAAAGTCCCTAGAACTTATGTAAAATTAGGATGGGTAGCAGAAGCATCTGGAATGCCACTGCCTTGATGGCAAGATGGGAGTCAAAGAAAAGAGAATCTCTGCAAAGTTGAAGGTCAGTTAGCCTGATGTATACGACAGAAGAGAAGCAAAGACTGAGAGAATCTCTGAAAAGGTGAAGGTCAGTTAGCCTGATGTATACGACAGAAGAGAAGCAAAGACTGTCTGAAACAAGGGTGGTCTGAAAGGCAAGAATCAACACCTAAGGTTGTGAGTTTATTCTCTAACTTCTACAAATGGGCCTTGAATGTGTGTGTGTGTGTGTATGTGTGTGTGCTTGTGTGTGAATAATCCCCATGAAGCCTCCATCAATGTCTAAGCTTAAAGTGCTGTGTTGTATGCAATTTGAATAAAAAGGCCCCCACAGGCTCATATATCTGAATGCTTAGTCATCAGGGAATGTGTGTGTGTGTGTGTGTGTGTGTGTGTGTGTGTGTGTGTGCCTGTATGTATGTATGCCTTTATGTACACATATGCACATCAAATAATAACTGAAAAGTAGACTCAGGAAGGAATTTCCTGCCTCCTTGCCTTCGAATCTAATGCCTACTTAAATCAAAGACCAGCAGTCTTGGTTTTGACTCTGGGTTTCTGCACACTTTTGCCAATCCCCAAACAAAGTCAGAAACTTCAAATTTCTTAAGTGGTTAAAGCCATCGTCTTGGTTTTAGCCCCTTCTTTGAATTTTGGCCATGTAGTTGGAGTCTAGTGCTTACAGAAGCAAATCTTGAGATTATGATCTGAGATTGACTTCCATACTACAATCTCTATCCCTTTTGCTCCAAGAATTGCCTGAGCTGAATCTTGACAATATTCATTTCTTGTCCTCATATTATTAAGGTTGATTTTTCTGGGAATGTTAAAGAAAGGTCTAGAGACCTAATACTGGGTGTGAGACTCAATGATACAGTCTTACAGAGCATGAAGGACAAGTTCTGGGTTTCCTCTTGAGCATCAGATAAATAAACAAACAAATAAATAAATAAAATTTAGAATATACAGTGGTGCTGAGGGTGATTTGAACTATGGGTGCCTGGCTCAAGAGGTTTCAGAGAAGAAGAATATTAGTATGCTGCTATTCTTATGATATTTTGGTGAAGAATGTGGCTGATTTCTGCCCTTGTACAAAAAATGCCTGAGGCTAAATCAAAGAATTATGGATTAACAACTTTAACAGATAATATTTTTAAACAACCTAGCATTGACTGTGTTGAATGGTTATCAGTGTTTGCTCTTATGCAGCTCTATAACGAAAACAAGCTGTACAAGGAAAAGGACCAGGAAGTGTAAACAGATTAAACCCTAAGGCTAAGTGAAATAAAGGGAGTGGTGACCTCAGAGGAAGATCCCACCCAGCTAAACTGTCAACTTGTGAAAATGAATTAAAGAAAAATTTAGGGTCAGGAGTGGTGGGGGACACCTTCAGTCCCAGCACTCAGAAGGCTGAGGCTGACAAATCTCGGAGTTCAAGGCCAGCATGGTGTACACAGCTAGTTCTATGACAGCCAAGCTTAGGCTGTGAAGGAAACCATTGAAAACAGAAAGCTGGTGAAAATGTATTTGAACAAGGGAGCCATGTTCCAGCCCCAGCAAGTAGATGAACTTTGCAGCTTCTGCCACATAGTTCTGGCTTTAGGGTCAAGGATAGAAGAGAGGGATTATGGAATCTCCCTCCACAGCTAAAGAAAGCTTCTGAGGCCAGGTGTGTGGCAGGGTGTCCCTGCATGGAGGCCCAGAGAGACCACTGTGTGAAGCTATGAAGGTGAGGCCTGGATTACCTTGGAGACCCCAAAATCTTGGAGATGTCATAACTGTGTACCTGCCAAGAAGAGCTGCTAACAGGGAGTGGAACAGGCCCAAGACAGAAAAGTGTGTTGCCATCAACAAGCTGAAAGGAGTTGGGGATCTGAAGAGCATTTTTGACATCAGACATGGAGTCGCAGAGTGTGAAGTCTGCCCAGCTGGTTTTTGGTCCTGCTTTGGTTCAATACTTCCTCGCTATCCTCCTTTATCTCATTTTTAGGACAGAGATGTATATCCTGTGCCATTATATGTTGGACCTGTGTGATCTGATTTTTGAGTTTGATTTTGCAGAGGATTAAAAAATTAAGAGACTGGATGAATCTCAGCAGAAGCTTGGAACATTAAACATTTAAATAAGTTTGAGACTGTTGTAGATTAGGGGGGGCATTTGAAGTTGGGCTATGACATGGCTACAAGTGTACGGGAACTTGGGAGTGGAATGTGGTAGTTTGAATGAAAATGGCCCCCACAGGCACATAGGGAGTGACAGCATTAGGAAGTATGGCTTTGTTTGAGTAGATGTGGCCTTGTTGGAGGAAGTATGTCACTATGGGAGCAGGCTTTGAGTCATATACGCTTAAGCTATGCCCATTGTGGCACACAGTCTGTCCTGCTACCTGTGGATCAAGATGTACAATTCTCAGCTCCTTCTCCACCACCATGCCTGCCTGAATACTGCCATGATTGTCTCCATGACAATAGTGAACTAAACCTCTGAAACTGTAAGCAAGCCCCAATTAAATGTTTTCCTTCATAAGAGTTTCCATGGTCATGGTTCATCACAACAATAGAAACCCTGACTAAGACGACCTATCCGGCTTAGCTGCCCATGTTCTAAACATTTCCATGGTATTACCTCAGCAACCTTGGAACCCGAAACCCAGAGTTCACTTTTGGTATCATAGCGTCTCACAGATCCACTCAAAGCTCCCAGGACATCAGTTCCTGAGATTCTAGGCAGAATTCTGGAAATAGAAGATTTCTGTGGGAGAGAAAGCCTGGGTTGGTATGCTAGCACATAATTAGCAAACTCTCTACTGTCAAAATAATGATGGTATCCTTAGAGTGTGTTAAGTAAGTACACTAACAGCTGCCAACACTCTATGTTGGCCACGTTATATAGCTTTACACCTATTTACATATTACATTATTTGATATTTAAGATATTGCTGTGAAATAGAATTAGCTGATAAGCAGAATCAAATCCCTCTCTACTTTGAGGAGGGGTAGGATAGAAGAATAATGCCTAATTGGACTGAGGTCAAGTTCATTGTTACCTTCCGTGATCTGCTTCTCTTGTCCTTAGGAGAAGACAGCAATTTGCTTGCTGGTTTTTCAGGTTCAGGCTCCAAACAGAAGACACTATCATGGGATATGGCCTTGTTTCCCATGCTGCTCTTAGGCCTACATGGAAAGGAAAAGTCTTTTAAAAGCAGCCCAAAGAATTAAAACTCAAAGAACAAGGTATTTTCATGATAGAGATACCAGAGCCAGTTCAGAAAGAGTACAGAGATACATGTGTGCTGAAACATAAATCAGTCTATGAGATATGGAGTGAGAGAGAATACATAAAGAAAAGTACATAGTATGTACATACAGTGGTGGTTTGAAAGTGGCTCCCAAAGTGAGTGGCACAATTAGGAGGTATGGCCTTGTAAGAGTAAGTGTGGCCTTGTTGGAGGAAGTGTATCACAACAGGGGTGGGCTATCAGGTCTCATTTGTTCAAGCCACGCCCAGTGTCACAATTCACTTCGTGTTGTCTGAAAGTCAAAGTGCATTATATTTATGTAGAATAGTCCTAAGCACAAAATAAAGGGTTATATAGACTTATCTGGAAGTGGCCTCTTTGGTGACAGAATTTTCTGAAGAAATACTTCCTTTTTCACTTTTTCTTTATTTTTATTTTTACATCACAGCCAAAGTTTCCCCTTCCTCCTCTCCTCTCCTAGTTCCTCCACCCTCTATGTTACCCCCACTCGTCCTCCTGTGTTTCTCTTCAGAAAAGGGGGGCCTCCCATGGATATCAGCCAGCTGTGGAATATAACATGGAAACTCTTCTGTTAGAGCTGGATGAGACAATCTGGTAGGAGGAAAGGGTCCCCAAAACAGTCAACAGAGTGAGATACAGTCCCTGCTTACATTATTAGGAGTCTCACAGGAAGATCAAGCTACACAACTGTAACATATATGCCTAGGTCAGTCCCATGCAGGCTCCCTGGTTGCCGCTTCAGTCTCTGTGAGTCCCTGTGAGCCCAGGTTAGTTGATTCTGTGAGTTTTCTTGTAGTGTCCTTGACCCCACTGGCCCCTACAATCCTTCCTCCCCCTCTTCTACAGGATTCCCCAAGTTCTGCCTAATACTTGGCTGCGGGTCTCTGCATCTGTTTCCATCAGTTGCAGGATGAATCCACATAAATATAATTGTGTAATTTTCCTGCTATGGAATATGCTCATTGCTAAGAATAAAGCTGATTGGCTAATAGCAGGGCATAAAGAGATGGGCAAGACAGACTGACACAGGGAGAATGTTGGGAGAGAAGGGTGGTGTCAGGGCAGTCATGGCATATGCCAGCCAACTGATAAATAAACAGGATGTGTAGAAAATAAGGTAATAAGCCATGAGCCACGTGGTAAAATGTGGATTAATGAAAATGTGTTAATTTAAATTTAAGAGCTAGTTAGTAATAATCCTGAGCTATCAGCCAAGCATTTATAATATAAGCCTCTATGTGGTTATTTGGAAGCAATTCCTGGAACAGTCAAACTCTGCCTATACTTCCCCCTTCCCCCCTTATTCCCTTTAATCCTTCCTATGCTCCCTTCCTTCCCTCTCAAATTCGGAACCATTTTATTTATTTACTGTTGTTACATATCTACATAAATATATGAATAAATATATAAGCACAACCTGCTGAGTCCACTTACTGTTGCTTGTTTGCATATATTTTCAGGGAAGACCACTTGAGATTCAATAACCAGCTAGCGTTACTAACCCCTCCAACTCCTATACTTTTCTACTTCTCCCTCTCCTCTTCATGTCCCCTTTTTAAATTTACTGTCTCTAATTAGTGCTTCCCGTATACACAAGGGTGTGGGGCCATCTACTGGGGCATAGTAAACCTTCAAAAGGCCACACCTCTTAAGAAAACTGATATTCTCTAGTAGCCATCAACTCCACAAGGGATAGAGTCTTGTGCCCCCCTCCTCAACTCATGCTGGAATGGTGACTATAAAGCCCTGCTTTGTTTAAGCTGGGAGTTGCAATCCCATTTGGGTTTACATAATTGAAAACATGAAATGGTTGAAAAATAATTTGAAATCAACTGAATGATGAATCTGAAGTGTTTCTGGCAGTGTTCATTCATGTTGCATGATGTGTTTTCACTGCACTCTTGGTCTTGAACACACAACACATGCACTTGTACTCCTCATGCCACACAGTGCCAATGAACACTATTGGAAACACCTGAGCTCAGATTTGAGACTGGTATATGATAAGAGTTTCAGCATTTTTATTGTATTTACAGTGTTTTCTACTTTTATGGACACACAATGGCTCAATGATAGGAAAACAAGTATTTTCCTACTACCATGCTTCAACATGGAATTATCAAACCAGTATGTCTTTTGATTGTACTGTGTTAACATGTTTGATTTTTGTATTTGTTAGTTGCACGAGACAGGATCTCACCATGTAGCCTTGGATAGCCTGAAACTTGCTATGCAGACCAACCTGGCATCAAACTCATTAAGATCACCCTGCCTCTGCCTCCTGAGTCCTGGCCTTATGGCTTGTGCTATCACACCCAGCTGGCTATAAGTTTTATGACTGACTGATTGTTCAGATGGTTGAAAATTCCGATCTCTCTTCCAAACACTTGAGGGGCATTCTCTAAGGTATTTGTGCTAGTGTATTAAGCAAGGTATAAAGGCAAGGAGTGATCTTCAGACTCTTAATTTATGCTCCTTGCCAAGGTCCCTCCCCCCTTATGTCTCTCTCAACATTTCTTAGTGTGGTTGTGATAATTTGAATGGAATTGGTTCCCATAATCTCATAGGGAGTGGCAGTGTTAGGAGGGGTGGCTTTGTTGGAGTAAGTATAGCCTTGTTGGAGGAACTGTGTCACTGCAGAGGCAGGCTTGAGATCTCATATGCTCAAGCCATGCAGTGTCTCAGACCACTTCCTGCTGCCTGTGAGTCAAGATGTATTAACTTTCAGCTCCTTCTCCAGCACCACATCTGCCTACATGCTGCCATGCCCCACCATGATGATAATGAACTAAACCTCTGACCTATAAGCCACCCCTAATTAAATATTTTCTTTTATAAGAGTTGCCATGGTCATGGTGTCTCTTCACAGCAACAGAAACCCTAACTAAGACAGTGGTAAATACAGCAGAGTAAAAGGACTATTTTGGAGTGAGAAGTTACTATTTTTTAAAAATAGCCATTACCAATTTGCAGAAACAATGCAGGGTAAACCACACAGTCCCTCCATGCCCCCACGACTTTGTTGTATACTCAGGCTTCTTCTAGTCTTACTTTCAACTCTGAGGCAATATTCTACAATGGCATTCCTTCTAAGGTATGAAATAAGCCCCTTTGCCCAACACCCTTCCCCTCGGCAAAGTTACCTGAAAGTCCTTATTGTGGATACACTCATCAAAGAACCATAAATATTTTAATGCCATAATGTCATGGGAAGTGTTTGGGAGAATGTTAGCAGGGCAGAACCTAGGAGAATGGCTAGGAGCAATGGTGAAGTCTGTGTGGCACCTCCAGATGTCTTCAGTTTAACGCCATGACAATTGACCAAAGTATTCCATAGAGGGATATCCGATGAAAGAGAAAGATGATGTTGAAATCGGAACACCACATATAAAAATGTGAATAGGTGTGAATGAGTGACTGAGAAAACAGCTTTCCCCATATCTGTGTGACTACAAAATGTTCTGAGGAGGAATGAAAGATGGATTGAGCGTGCTAACTTGTTTGTGTATTTTAAGCAACAAAAGATTTTATGCTTAAGCTCTTGTATGCTAAAAAAATGCCACTTTGCCTGAGATTTTATTACTTAGAGATCTAGGCTCCATTTTTTGGATCCGTAGCCTAGGGATGAGTTAAGCAAACCAGGCCAAAAGACCAAACCTCTGCATGGCATGGGCCATCCTGACTTTATGAAATGGGCCACGAGCTCCTCGTGGGCAATGGGTGTGAAGTCTGATTATTCTACCTGCCTATGCCTGTTCTGGATCCAGCCCTGACCACCATACCCCCTGCTCCCATCTGGGCTTACTTGTTCTCCACCACTTGGACTTCCAGAACTGGCTTTACACTGCTGCTGGAAAACCTTGTCTTTAGCCCTCTTACTTCCACGACATCTTCCAGTTCTTTCTTCTTCTTCTTGCCGAAAAAGTTCCTGAAGGCTTTAAACTTGGATTTCTTCTTTCCTGGGGGTGAGAAATGGATGTGAGGCCAAGTATGATGGAGGAAGTGAAGGTAGGGGTGTGGTAGTGTCAGGTCCTTCGCAGGTTTCGTCTCTGGTAGCCACAGTACCATTCATTTGTTTGTAATGCCCTTAAAAACTCATTAAGCAACTGTCTGGAATACTGTGTTAAGGAACAACCCAGCCACAGCTTTAGGTCTTAAGGCAGCCTCAATCCAGGCCAAATTGATAGAGTACCCTTTTGCTTGTCAATTTCAATGACTGAGAAAGCTCATATGCATTTTATTTTTGGCTTTCATCCTTCTACATTTTATTTTATTTGAGTTTGTTGAAGGGAAGGAGCAGAATGTCATTATAGAGACAGAGCAGCTGGCCTTGAAATCATGATCCTCCTACTGACATTACAGACCTGTGATACTCACCCCCACATATGGCCTTATCTTTATTCTTTAAATTGCTCAAATCTAGGAAATTGTAGGAGTTAACAAAACAACATGGTCTTACTCTGTAACCTAAGGTGGCCTCAAACTTGGGTTCCTCCTGTCTGTGCAGCCAGATGGTTGGTATAGCAACCTTATACTACCTGCCTGGGCTTGGCCTTCTGTTTTCATTTCTTAACTCTAGGAAAGTATGGGGGATCAAAAACAAAACAACAGCAAAACAAACAAACAAAACCCAGTAGCTCAAACTGACCCCAAACTCTCAAGCCTCCTGTCTCCACATCCACTGTGCCAGCAGCCAGGCCTGACTTTGTCTTTTAGTGTTTTCATTTTGTAAATGTACATAATTCTAGAGGTGAAAAAAAACCAGACCTCAAACTTTCAATTCTCCTGCCTCCACACCCCAAGTATTGGTATTCCACCAAGACATCGCCTTCACTTCTAAACTAATTTCTTAAATCTCTAAAAGTGAGATGGTTTTTAAAAATGGGGCCTTACTATGTGATGGAGGCCAGTCCCATGCTCTTGACCCTCCTGTTTCCAAACATAAGTTCTGATATTGCGGGCCTGTGCCACCAACCCAGGCATTGCCTTTTCTTGTAATGTTCTATTTTTTAATATATGAAACTGTGAGGTTTCTTTTAAAGATCCCAGTATGTAGCCTAAGCTGGTTCCACACTCTTGATCCTCCTGCCCCTGCACCTCAAGTGCTGTTACTACAGGCCTATGCCACATACCAATGCTTGACATTCTCTTTTAATCTTTTAATTTCTTTTTTGATTTTTGCAGACAGGGTTTCTCTGTGTAGTTTTGTAAACCAGGCTGTCCTTGAACTCACAGAGATCTGCCTGTCTCTGCCTCCCGAGTGCTGAGATTAAAGGCCTATGCCACCACTGCCTGGCTTTAATTTCTTAAATTTAAGGAAATGTGTGTGTTTCTTTTCTTTTAAGGCCTGTTTGTAGCCTAGGTTGTCCTTAAATTTCATCTTCTAGCTTCCACACACTCAGGGCTAGTATTGCAGGTCTGTGTCACCACCTGAGGCTTGACCATCTCTTTTAACCTTTTAAATGCTTAAGTCTAGGAAAGTATGGGTATTAAACAACAGGATCTCATTCTATAGCCCAGGTTACCCTCATATTTGGGATACTCTTACCTCCATACCCAGAGTACCAGTATAGCAAGTTATAGTACCATCTCATACCTGACCTTATCTTTTACTCTTTTAGTTTCTTTAATCTAGGGATATGTGGCAATTAAAAAACTGAGTCTTACTCTATAGCCCAGGATATCCTAAACCTCTGGATCTTTCTCCTTCCACATCTGGAGTTTGGTATTGTAGGCCTTTACTACCACCCCAGGTCTGGCTACATCCTAGCTGATGTTTTATAGACCACCACCACTACTAGACTTCCTCTTTCCGTTTTTCAATTTTTAAATCTTGGAAATTGTGGGAATTGAAAACCAAAGTCTCACACTGTATCTCAGGTTGGCCTGGAACTCAGTCTTCCTGTCTTCACACACTGAGTGCTGGTATTGCTGGCCTGTGCTACCACCCAGGGTAGGTGCTATTATTTACGTTTCCAATTTCTTAAATCAAAGTTGTGAGGGGGAAAAAAGCAGGGTCTCAGTATGAAAATGAAGCTAGTCTCAAATTCTTCATTTTCCTGCCTCCACCTCCAAGTGCTAGTATTCTAGACCTGCATCAACACTCTTTTAATCTTCTAAATTTGTAAATCTATGAAACTGTAAGGATTTTTTTAACAGTTTCAATAAGTAGCCTAGGCTGGCCTCATACTGCTGATCACTTGTTTTCACACCAAGAGTGATGGCATGCAGGTGAGTGCCACCACCCTGTGTTCGGCTTTCCTTTTTAATAGTGTAATTTCTTAAATCTAGTAAATTGTGGACTTAAAAAAACAGGGTCTCACTTCATAGATGAGTCTAACTTCAAACCCTTGATCTTCCCACCTCTATACCCTGAATGCTGAGATTGTAGAAGTAAGGGTAACGTGCAGTTCTAATTGCTACAATCATAATTGCGGTTTTGTGCTACAAACTGCTTCACAGTTAGTTCCTTTGTGGGGAAATGCCCCGATGTGCACTCTTCACCTATTGGTGCAGTGAACAAACTGTCACCATGGCCATTCTTAAACCATTTTGTGCTAGTCTGAGCTAGTCTGAGCCAACTGCAGCACGCCTGTCACTAATGCGGGCCCTCAGAGACGAGTTGGCCCAAACTGCTACATTTCAGCCACTAGAGGCACTACCATCTGCTTTCAAAACAAGAAGAACAACATTGACTTGATGAACATTCACCATGCTTAGAAATACAGGGCCCACCACTCCCTGGGCACCTACTGGGTGCCAGGAAAGCAAAGTTAGGAATTTCAGAGTTGCAAACCCATTGCTTACAAATCAGCAAAGACTAGAGGGGCAGCATCAACAGCTGGTAACTCCACTTATAGCACAACCAGCAAACATGGAATAGATGAGTAAAAATACTAATAAACTGTTAAAGTTGTAAAACCAAACTTGCCAAACATGACCTGAGCAGACAAAATCTCACTCACACATTTTATCCTCCTAAATTAACAAGATGGCTTATGTGCTAGCATTTCAATATGCACGGATTCCGTTTTCCACCCATTTTGCATTCTTTGAAGGGAAGCAACAACTTATTTTCCCAGAAGGATTTAGAGTACTTCAAATTATGCATGTCTTTTTTCAGTAGGGGCACTAGAGGATAAGGAATGCTTCTGCTGTGCCCTTGGGGGCTAACTGCTTTGAGTATGGAGTTTGTATAGCTTTGCCAACAGGGATTTGGGATAATGCAAAGAAACCACAAACACTGGCAAACATGGTGTGTTGGATGCTCACTAATCCTGAACAGTGGCATGGAAGCAGGGCACCACCTTAGACATTAACCAGTTGCTAGATACACTTGTGAAATCCTAATACAATCAAGGATGTTTGCCAGATATTTGGGTATATAAATATGACTTTGCAAGTTTTTTTTGTAAAGATTGCCTTTAAATTGCCATCAGATGAGCCAAAAAAATTCTGGTTTTCAAAAGTCATTAAAAATGCAAAGGGTAGTAAGGCAGGTAGGGGTAAAACATTATATCTAGTAGTATTTATGTCACCTATACACCTATAACTCATGTCACCACAAAGTGTCGCTGTTGCAGCCAGAGAACACAACACTGACAGCTGACAGCTATCTTGCTTTCTCTAACAAAGCCATTGACTTTTGTGTCCAAACAAATTTCCAAACAGCAAACAAATTTCAACATCATTACTCAACAAAAACCCGAATAAAGGTGTCACATGCCATGAAACAGCCCTTTAAAGGGCTGCTCTCCACCACCTGCAGAAGAAATCACAACTAAATCCAGGGACTAAATTGTTGCTACTGCTTCCTGCATTTGCTTATCCATCATGCACGTGGGCAGTCCGTGCTTATCCATCATGCACATGGGCAGTCCGTGCTTATCCATCATGCACATGGGCAGTCCGTTCCATACTATAGAATAATAACCTGGTTCTCTTTCCTTGCTACTTGGGAAACACACGCACACACACATACACACACACACACACCTAACTTTTCCTCCCTTCCATCTCCAAATGGCCATTTTATTCTTTAAAAACTGTGAACTTTTGAAAATTCTGGAGAGCAGACAAAAAATGTTTCCCTCTATCTACCCTTCATCAAGAATACCACACTGCTGCCCTCTTCTGTGGCATCAACCTTAGTCAGCTGATGGCTTAGCTGGGTCTGCTTTAGTGAGGAGTCCTTTCACTCATTCATTCATTCATTCGTTAATTTATCTGTTCATTCACCCATAAATCCATTGCTTGAATATTCTGGAGTGCCTAATAATTCTCTCTGAGTCCCTGCTAACCAGAGATCAAGAGCCGTCCAGGTTCCACGAGCAATTACACAGATTCAGTGAGCTCACCCCACTCCCACAGGAAACCATGAGAGGGTTATACTCTCTGTCTTTCTAAATAGTCCTTTAAGCTATGCATGACTGAAGAAAACTCAGCAAACAAATGAAAAAACAATGCAATTGACTATTACATTTTGCTCTATCTTTAAAGTCAATTTTCACTTCATGTCTCATAGTTACATTTTTAATGTAGTTTTGGAAGAGAAATAGTAATTGGGTGGCCATATTAAAATTGAGTTACACTCATATATAAAAACTTCACAATGAAGCCCATTATTTATATAATTAATATACATAATAAAAACATAATCAGTGTTTGTGATTTTTCTCTTCATTTCTATCATTCCTGTAGGGTTCATCTATCACTCATAGATGGCACCACAACTTACCCAATGAATACATATTTGAAGAAGGTTTGCAAATGAGATTTTTTTATTTTTAATTTAATATTTTTATTTTTAGTTAGCATACAAGATATTAGGTTTCATTGTAGCATTTTCAAATAACATTTTCTTGTTGCTTCTTCTCCCGTTGCATCTCCTGATCCTATTGTTCCTGCCCCTTTACTCCTCATTACAAATCCCTCCCTTGGTTGAATCTGAGTTACTATCTGCAATGAAATCTTAATGGAATTCGTGACATTGTGCTTCAGTTCTTGTTTTCTTTCTAACTAAACAGAAATGCCTCTACTTAATTGAATAGAAGCTTCTTCTCCCATGCCCAACCCACCTCTATCCATGCCCCACCCACCTCTATCCATGCCCCACCCACCTCTATCCATGCCCCACCCACCTCTATCCATGCCCCACCCACCTCTATCCATGCCCCACCCACCTCTATCCATGCCCCACCCACCTCTATCCATGTCCCACCCACCTCTATCCATGCCCCACCCACCTCTATCCATGCCCCACCCACCTCTATCCATGCCCCACCCACCTCTATCCATGCCCCACCCACCTCTATCCCTCCATCTTCTCCTGACAGTCCACTTCCTAGGCCTAGTAGCCTCCATTTTGCTTTCTTGTCTTGTGTATTTATTACTCATTTTTCCTTCATCACCCCTCCTTTAAGACCTGTTTTCCCTTCTATGCCCCTCTATTGTTCCCCTTTCTGATAAAACCGGGTAAGACCAGGTTCCTTTTCCTGATGGAGGTACCCAGCAAATCCAGTGCTGGTCATGAAGGGTTTATTGGATTACTTACCCTCCTCTGTGCCTTCCAAACCTTCCATGCTGCTGGAAACTTCACTTAAAGACTCAGCCATGGTGAATTCACTAAAAAAAATGAGGAAAATATTATTCCTTCCATATATAGGATACAACAAAACCATTTTGTCTTGCTACTTATTCTTAAGTTATATTCCTAAGTTATTCAAGAAAAGACATACAAATGCAATTGCCTTTGGGGGTAGATATCACCTCCTAAAAAGACAATAATCCCAGTAATAGGAAATAATCGGAAGAGGCAAATAAATGAATACACGGGATGTCTTGCCTAGGGCTGGGGGTGGGGGGAGTTGGGGAGTGATGGATGAGGAATCACTGCAATACCTGGGGTCATCGTAGTGAACATGGCAATACTTCCCAGCACACACACCTCACAGAGGGAAAAACTACATCTGAACTTCAGAAACCCTTAGGCCGCCTTAGGCTCGCATTGTTATTTACTCACCATATCCAGTGATAGAAGGAGATCCACTAAAGAGAAATTTATGAAAGACAATGGGAGAACAAAGAAAAGGGGTTATTTTGACACCCCTGCAATTCCGTATCAATATGAGAAGCAATTCTGTTTAATCCCAGAGTTCAGTCTGAATTTTTTCAGGAATACATGCCTCATTTCCCTCAACTGATCCTAAATGCCCCCAAGAACATCAATACCAGCAACCATGCATCTCAGGCAGGGCCTGTGGAACATCTCTCCTCCTCAACAAACCCGCAATCACAGCAGAATAAATAGACCTCCCCTGAAGTGCACATCCTTTCCTGTTACCTCCCCATCTTTCTCAAGCTTGTTAGCAGAACATCCATGAATTGTCTCTACTCACTCATTGTATGACTTCGCTCAGAGTTCTGTTGCATTCGTCCCAGCAAGGGCTCCCAAACCGCCTGCCTCAGTCCCACAGCAGAACTGCTCTGCCTAAAGCCAGCCTTCTCACAGCATCTCTCTCTCTGCTACTCCTCCTTTTAAAACATTTGTATCAGTTCCTGTTCAGAACATCTCACTCCCCAAATCGTCTTCTTTCTTATTGGCTGCTCTTTCCCAGGCTCCTCTAAGGGCCCATTATCCTAGCCCTGATTTTGAAACATAGCATGTGGGGCTTTGTCCTTGGCCCTCTTCGTTATCAGCAATAGTGTCCTAGCCCAGAAAACGTTAACAGAAACCCAACTGTAAGTCACATGCACAATTAAAAATCCCCTAGCAGCAACACTTCAAAAAGGAGAAACCTGGAAAAACAGGGGAAATCATTTTAATAAGGTATTTTGTTAAATCTTATTTAAGCACTATATTATTTCACCATGGAATCACTATAAAATATGAATAGCGTATTTTACATTTTTTGGTCATACCAGTTGCAATAGCCCCTTGTTCTGCTTAAGCTTATTTATCAACTTTCTGCTGTTTAATGTTAAAGCCATACCTTTCTATACATAGGGGCCTCCCTTTCCCCTCCATCTCTCAGCAGCCTTCTGCACTTTCATCCCCATACTGTGCTCTCCTAGAATCATGAGCCATTCCCTAAACTTACTATGCTAGTCTGCTTTATCTGAAACATGCACACAGCCTGTCCATTATTCCCAGAATGCCATCTTTCCAAATGGCCATACCCTTAAGTCCCCTATTGTTCTTCGTGACTCCATTACCCATGTCTACGCCCATCATGCTCTTGGCCCTTTGCACATACATCTTCCATAGCTGGCATCACCTGGTGGGCAGGGGCAACACTTTGCTTCTCTAAGTAGCATCATTACCCAGTAGCACTAAGCATACAAGGTACTCACTACCTGTGGTTGTGAAGGATGGATGCAATAGGAGCCAGAGCTGGGTGCTGGAGCACAAAATCTGATCCAGTACAAAAAGCTGTCCTCTTGTTTAAATGTATGATAACAAATACATTTGAGGTACATTTCAAGTAAAGGACTTCTTTGCATGAAGTCCTATGAGAAAAACTGCTAAGACAAGTAAGGAATGAGAAAAATTCATATTTTTATACAGAGAACTTCATGTAAAATGGTCATCAGCAAGTTTGGCCCAGCAGAGATATAAAATTGAATTATTAAATCATTTTTTAAAAATGCATTCTGGACCAAAGTGTGCCTCGGTAGAGAGGTGAACCTCTTCAAAAACCGGGGCAGGAACAAGAGAAGAAAGCGAAGTGGATGTTGGTGTAGGTTACGAATTGTCCTTAGATGGTTTGAATCCGTGGGATTTGACTCAGTCCTTCCCTGTCCTTGCAGTTCCAGAGTCACCAGGGAGGAGAGGTCACAAGGTGGACTAGGGAAGGGAGGCACAGGAAGGCATGCCCTGGACCTTGGATATGGAGGCAATGAACAAAGATACGAAATCAGTCCTCAAGAATACATCCTCATCCCACACTGAATCATCTGCACCCCTTGTGACCGCAACTTGTAACTTTTGTCTTGAGAAACTTTAACCCACACTGTGCATTGGGGAACACATCATCCCATGGCCTCAACAAACAGCCTTTTTTCTCTCAGTTCTTTCTGGCCTGAAAGAGAGTGGTCTCTGGATAAAACCCCTCTTAACACAGAGGAATTGGCCTAAGGAGAGGCAATTCCGCTATTCCCCAGTGGGTGCATGCCCAACAAAATAACAGTGTCTCCAAGAAAATGAGATCCCTGAAGATTCTCAGCTAGGGTGATACTTATAAGCCTTTTGGGCCTCTAGTTTCCTTAGGTCTTAAATCCATCGGCATCCCTTCAACTGTGAAAAGAAGCAGTTGCTTCATCATACATGAGCAGAATCATCTGAAGGCACTCTAGCTCCTAATGTCATCTTTTACTCCACTCATGCCACTGCCTTCTATCTACTTTACCTGAAGTAGCTACTGTTAGACTCATTCTCTTGAACCATACAACCAAGTCAGAACATTACTCTTCAGCGCCTCTCTCCTTCGCTACACATAGACCCTGTGTGAATGCATAGTATGTACTCAGATCTGTTTCAGATGCTATGGAGGCAATGGCAAAATAAAACTAGTGTATATTTGCTGTTTACTGGACACTGAGTGTGTACTGACACTGATGTGTTTTGCTCAAAAACCTCACTGAATCCTCAGGGCTTTCCTGTGAGGTCGGTATCATTTATTCTCACAAAATTCTGTTAGAAGCTGAAAGGCTAAGTAATTACTCATGCTCAAATGGTTAAGTATATGGCACAGACAAGCTAAGAAGCTAGAGATAGAACCTAGAACTTCAGACTGTTATAGAAAATGATCCCCTCTCTGATGACAAAGAAAATTGAGAACACTGTTTAGTAGTACATGTCTATAAACCCAGCAATCAGGAGGTTGAGGCAAGAGGATTGTGAGTTCAAGGCTACATAGTAGGTTTCAGAACACTCGGATTTGTAGTGATGTCCTGTTTCTAGGAAAACTTGTTCTAATTTGTTGTCTGTTGCTACAATAAACACCATGGCCAAAAGCGACTTAGACAGGAAAGCATTCATTTCTGCTTACAACTCCCAGGTCACAGTTCATCGGTGAGGGAAGTCAGGGCAAGAACGCAAAGCAGGAACCTGGAGGCAGGAGCTGATGCTGAGACCATGAATAAGTGCTGCTTACTGCCTTTTCCCTCATATTGCAGAGATTATCTTAAGTATCTGCTGAAATGCTAGCATGATGGCCGTGGATTGCTTTACTTTGCACTTGTTGTGAAAGATTTGCATTTCTCCATAATTTTTTTATTTTTAAAGATTTATTTACTTATCTTTTAAAATTATTTAATGTGCATGAGTGTTTAGCCTGGATGTACATCTGTGCACCGTGTGCATGCAGTGCCCACGGAAGCCAGAAGAGGGCGTCAGATCCCCTACAAATGGAATCACAGACTGTTCTGAGCCACCATGTAGCTGTTGATAATCAAACCTGGGTCCTCTGGAAGAGAAGCCAGTGCTCTAAAGTGCTGAGACATCTCTCCAGCCCCTCTCCATACATTTTCAAAGACAGCATGACTGGATTTAGCAATGTTGGCTAACAGTTCCTTGCTTTCAAGGCTTTGGCATTTACCATGCTATGCGTTTCTGGCTTTTAGTTTTCTGCTGGATGCCCTGATGGTGTTCTGACATCTTTTCTTTTTTAAGTGCCTAGCACTTTTCTCTTACAGCTTTTAACACTATTTCTTTGTTTTGTGGCTTTGACATCTTGACTACAATGTTAAGTTATGGAGAGGTTCTCCTCTGCTCATATCTACTGGGGACTCTAACTTCCTTCTGTGCTTCAGTGTTCACCTGCCATGCCTGATATATTTTTTCTGCTGCTTGGTCTAATCTATTTGTGATGCTTTCCACTGAGTTTTTCATTTGCTCCAATAAGGTTTTCATTTCCACTCAGCTATACTGCTCCTCCAAAATACCCAAACGCTTTGACATCCTACAGCAGAGACACTTGCACATCTATGTTTACTGCAGCTGGAGTCATGCTATTAAGGGGACAGAAAGCAGTCTAGATATTCCCTGTGATGACTTATGTTAGAATCACCTGGGTGGACCACTGGGCACCCCTGGGGAGAATTATATTCATTAAGGTTAGCAATGCGGAGAGACTCATCTTACTGTGGGTAGGACTATTTCTGGGCAAAGGATCTCTAACTGCATGAAATGGAAAAGGCAAAACAAGCAGTACACATATATGTGACCATCTCTATTTTCTGATTGATTACGGATGTTATGTGGCCAGCTGCTTCATGCAAATGAATAATGATAGCTCTATTCAGAGAAATAAATAAATGGTTGAATGAATTTTAAGAGAAAACAAACAGCAGAATGAAATAAGAAAGACAATGCAGGACATTAAAACAGAATCCAACAAAGATATAAAAATATTGAGCAAAATGTGAAACTGAAACAATGCTGGAAATAAAAATTTTAGTAAGTCCAAAAAAAAAAAGCTCCATAGAAGGCCTCACCAACAGGCTGAGTGGGGGCTGACAAAATATCAGGGTATGAAGACAAGGTATGTTCAGTGAAAGATGACAATAAATATTTTAAAATGCACAACTTGAAAATGGAATATATTTGAGACACCTTGA